CTAGACGGAGGAGAAGAAAAACAACAAGAAGAAACTATAGGATGTCTTAGAAGAGAAACATGGGAAAGCCTCAGGCCGCACATTTCCTGGGATCGGATTTGCTCTCTGGACGTGCTCACGGCTCATGCATGTAACACCAAGTTTCCATTGAAAACCTCTCAGAGAGATTTCTTTCACACACCCTGCCGCTTCCCTTGCCAGAATAAATATGCTGGGAGGCTGATCGCATATGACACAAAATCCAAACAAACGGAACAAACTCGGGGAAACCCGAGAGAACCTGGTTTCCAACTCGGATACCTTTGTGATCGTCAGCTCCCTATCTGGTTTAGATTAGGAGCTCACTGTGCAGACTTGTACAGTTACACGAATAATAATATTCACATGTGAATATGCTGTGGATGTTAAGTAAAATAATAATGCTAGCCACAAATTGTGCCAACAAAGACCACAGACTTGTGTGTCTAAGGGTGAGGAGAGCCCCCCGCAACACACCCCCTCAGTCCCAGTCAAGACTGCCCTTGCTTTTCCTCATGAGTGTCTGAACTTTCTCTAATTTCCTCTTTCTTCCCCCACGTCTTCTTTTTGGATCCATTTCTTCATGTGTAAAATAAGGAGCATTAACTAGATGATCATCAGCCTCCTTTCCAGAATCCATAGGTGATTCTGTGATTTTTCTGGATTTACCATTCCAACTTATTACCTTGTACTTTGAAAGAATGAAATTGGTGCAGCATTTACTTTGTCCAAGTCTTTAATAGCAGAGGTAAGTTGGCACCAACATTTAAAACAAAAACCACAATGGAATTACACCAAGAAGAATCCCTACAAGTCAAGCGTTGCCGGTTACTCACTTTGTGCCCTCTGGCAAGTGACTTAATCTCTTTATGCCTAGGTTTCCTCATCTGTAAAATGGGGAAAATAAGAGAACCTATTATTATTGGGTGTCCTGAGGATTGAATGAGATAATGCATGAAGGATTTAGTGAGGGGGCTTGGTACATAAAAAGCACCCTAGCAATGTTTTATTATTATTATCTGCAAACGTCATTTTGGCAACTCACAGGATGGCAGATTTTCTTTCACTGAGAGGTGAATGCTGAGAAAAAGAAGAGTTGTTTATAAATAAAGGATCTTGTTTAAAACAACAGCAACCACCTTTTCCCTCTTTCTTGACTTGCTGATGTGAACTAAGATTTACACATGTCTTGAGGGTATGCAGCAACCGGGGTTGAGGCATAACTGTAGTTTGGATTTCTTTCTTTCTTTTTAGTTGTAGATGGACACAATATCTTTATTCTTATTTGTTTGTCTTTATGTGGTGCTGAGGATAGAACCCAGGGCCTCATGTATGTGAGGCAAGCACTCTATCACTTAGTTATGGCCCCAGCCCCGTAGTTTGGATTTCTGATTCACTAATTTTACTTTTCTTGTCCTGGTGCATTTGGCTTAGTTCATGTTCTGTTCTTACCTCCAACCAGAAAGGCAATTTTTCTCAGTCTTTCCTGCACATTAGAATTGGGAACGCTTGCAAAAAAAAAAAAAAAATCCCTCTTCTTCTTCCTCCTCCAATTGTGCCTTTGTGATGATTTGTTGTTGTTGTTGTGTGTGTGTGTGTGTGTGTGTGTGTGTGTGTGTGTGTGTGTATGCTCATGCACATGTGTGCATGTGGGTGGGGGATGACTGAAGCAAGTACAATTTGTGCTTCTGGGATACTAGTGAATTTCTGATTCTTAAGCTGAGTGGTGGTTGTACAGGTAACTTCAGTTTGTAAAACTTCATTGAGATCCATACTTAGGGTATTGTGCACGTTTCCACATGTATAATATTCTTCAATAAAATGTTAAACACAAATCCCTATGTCGAAGTTGCACTGAAACCAATTAAATCAAAATCTTTAGGGGAAGGGCCCTGACATCAACCTTTTTGTGAAACTTCCCAGGTAATTGCAATGTGAAGGCAGGTTTAGTGGCAGCAGAGGTTCTTTCTGGTCAAGCAGGCTATAGTCTTGATACTGGCATCAGGCTAATACCAAAAACTTGGAACAGCTAGGAGTTGGTTCGACTGGCCTGGGATTGGTTTGGGCAGGCCCAAGATCTGAAGGCCATTGGGCAGCACAGTGGAGTTGAGAGCACTGGATGTGGACAGAATCTGGGCTCAGTCTCCAGCCCTATCACTCACTGGTTAAAATACTCTAGGCTAGTCTTGCACATAACCTCACAGAATTGCTTCTACTCACACCACAACTGGCTCCTGCATTGAGACAAAAGTGCTTTCCATTTATCAAGGGCTTCATAAATGAGCTATCATGATTCAACTGTGCAAATTGAACAGGAACCCAAAATAGGTTTTTATTGATTTCAGCAGGGCTGCCAGGTAGTTTTTGTACATTTTTCATTACTATTACTCCTATCACTTACCCTGTGGCACTGGAAGGACGAAGCACCAGTTTGAGTATAAATAAATGGTTGTTGTTTTATATCACACTTTAAAAAATAAAAAAAGCTATGAAGCCACAAAAAGACATGAGGGATTTAAATGCCTATTCCTAAATGAAAGAAATCAATCCAAAAAGACAACAAACTGTATGATATTATGGAAAATGCAAAACTGTAAAAACAGTAGTAAAATCAGTGGTTATCAGGGGCCTGGGGAAGGGAGGGATGAATAGGTGGAGCACAGTAGTTATTTAAGGCAGTGAAACTATTCTGCATGGTATTTTAATGGTTGGTATGTGGCACTGTATATTTGTCAAAACCCTTAGACACATACAAGTTCTTTACTGAATATTTGATTTGCAAATATTCTCTCTCAGTCTGTAGCTTTTTTTTTTTTTTCCTTCAGTGCTGGGGATTTAACCCAGGGCCTCACACATGCTAGTGAAGTACTTTGTCACTAAGCTATACCTCCAGCCCCGACAAAACCTTAGAACTACACAAAACAAAGAAAGGATGCTAATACACACTATGGACTTTAGTTAATAATCATATTGGCTCATTAATTGTAACAAATGTACCATACTAATATAAGGTGTTAATAATAAGGGAATCAGAGTAGAGGAGGAAGTATATGGAACTCTTGTAACTTTATGTAAACATAAAACTGCTTTATCAAAAAAAAAAAAGGTGCACTCCATTGTTTGACAGTTCTGTATGCACCACTTACTTAACAGGAAGCATCTTTGCAGAGTGCCTTTGGCCACCAAGCAATGAGGCAGCACGGACCAACACGGGCGAACGGTTTTGAAGTCAACAACTCTCAGTCAATCCTTAGCTAGAATGTGAGAAGAAAGGGGGATAGAATGTGGCTGGTACCCATGTTCGCCTTTTTAGTACAAGCAAAGACTTGCTGAGTACGTGAAGATGGCCCAGTAGGGTCCACGCGTCCTTGGGAAAGAAATCACACATGATTTTGTCTTAACCAAATAGTCTAAACTACTAAATAATTCATCCTAGATGATCTTCAGTTTTCCTATTTCTACAACAGAACTATTATTTGTCATAAATGTTGCTGGGATGTTTTCAAACCTTGCTTGACAGGCTTAACAAAACCACTAAAACACTCATACCTAGTCTGATGATGATGAAGAAGTGGAGCATAGGGCCACAGAAACATGTTATTAAGGAAAGCGAGGAAGAGTTCTTCGCAAAAAGCTCTTTTAGGCCTTTCACTGCTGAGTTTTCTCTACTTGTTACCTGGAATTTTGTCTAAGGTATTTACCCTCCATGAATTCTAAGGACCTCTCAGGGGTTTCGTTAATCTTGCAAATAAGTTTCAGTTGTGCCTTGTTGTGCTCTTTGTGGACATGGATAGAGTTTGTCAATCCACTAGCGAAAAGTAATGGTCCTCCCAATATGGAGTAGCCCCTTGAGAGTGGTGATTCTGTAGGGAATTCTAAGACCAGACACAGAAGCATTTCCTACACTTGAAACCAGGAAATGAAAACTAAGTGAGTGGAAATCAGGATGCAGTGCTTAATTAAGAGGTGGGTTAAATCCCAAGAAACACTAAGAATCATACTGTAGAAGAACTAGCAGGACAGAAAATGTGAGACAAATTCAGGCCAAGAGAAATTGAACACTTTCTCTCGGAGTGACTGGTTTTTCCCTTCTGTGTGACAAAAGGGATTGGGGAAAGAGTTCGGGTTGTCTGGGATTCCTGTGACTAGCCCCTTTGCATTGCTCAGTGGGACAATATTCTTTTTCCCTGCAAGGTGAGCATGCAACAGAAGCTGTCACCCATCTGTTCCTTCTTGTCACTCGGTATGAAGTTGTCCCAGCACAAATGTCCAACAATGCCATGAGATCTACCCCTGGAATTGATAGGCTCACAAAGCAAGTCCAGGGAACTTGGGTCAGCCCTGGGAAGCAGAGGACGCAGGCTGCCAGACGGTCACTTAACAGTCACAGCAGGAATCTGGGTTGGGTAATGAAGTCTAATTGAGATTTTGGTTTTGGAAAAAAATGTCTTTTTGGTTGTTGCTCTCTGTAGCCCCACCACGGAACCGAAAAGGCCCATTCTTTAGAGTACAAATTATTTCTTCTGAAGCATTTGTGTAGCAGATGCCTCTAAATGACTGGCAAACAGAATTCATAGAATATTAGAGGTCAAGAGCCCCACAGATCACTCTGGTTGAATCTCTTCCTTTCCTAGATGATGAAGATGGGGCCCAGAGAGGTTGAGTGTTGTACCCACAGCCACTCAGCTGCCTTACAAGCTGAGCCTTGAATTCTCCTTACCCCATTCTAGTCTAAGTTTCTTCCCAGTATACTGTGCTCCATTTACCAGGGTTACAAGAAGGAATCCATTGCCTCTTGCAGAATCTAGAAAGTGTTTTTTTAAAAAGCTTGGAACTAAACCTGTGACTAATTAAAACAGAGTGTTCCACCACCTTTAAGTCACCAGCTAAAATCCACTGCTCCGTGTCCCAGTGGGCCCAAGGCCTTCTGTGCGACCAGCTCAAAGAGAGATTATTGTCTCAACTCAGTTCTCTGTGTCTAGGTCCCCACAAAATGGAAATCGCTTTACTTGGGGAAGAACAAGAGGACAAGATGAGATGAAAAGGAAGCATGTTTAAAATGGATAAAAGAAGGTACTTTTTTTTCCCCACTGCACACAATTGACCTGGGGAACTCACTGCAGCAGGATATTAAGATCAATGGTGAAGATTTGTGTTTTAAAAGATTAGACATTTCACATGCATATCATCAACAGTGGGTTCAATAGGATGAAAGGAAGATGGATAAAAGTTCCCAAGCTTCAGTGCATAAGTTGATCACCAACTGGGTCAGGTAAAAAGAAAAACTTGTCTCCCCCGATCATCTAAGATCTCATAGGAAGGCAGATGTGGGGTATTCCAATTACCGCTACTGTATAACAAAGCACCCCAAGCTAGAGGTGTGAGACAACAGACGTTTGGTTTCATTCTGGAATGCAGCGGATGAGGAAATTAGCGGAGGGCAGAGCAGGGATGCTTTTCTCGGCTCCACAATATCCCTGGCCTCCCCTGGGAAGTCATAAACAGCTTGGGGGACTGGAAGATCCTTTATCTGTGTGTCAGACACCTGGCTTGGGATGACCTGAAGGCTCCCTCAGCTGGGACTGTCAACTGGGGCAGCTACAATGTGGACTCCAAGACACAGAGTTCCAACAGAATCAGGCGGAAGCAGAGTGGCCCCTCATGACCCATCTGTGGAAGGCCTACTGCATGGCTTCCAACATGTTCTATCAGCCAAAACCACCGCCAGCATACCAAGGTTCCAGAGGAGGGGACCAAAGACCTCCTACCTTCCTCCTTCATGAGGGAATGACAAGGTCACGCTGCAGGACACATGGGAGGGGTGAAAGTTTTAGAGCTATCTTTGAAAAATGCAATCTGCTGGGGAAGAGTCTGGGAATGTGTGATATATAAAATCTAATGGGAGACTCTGATATATGAAGGAACAATCATAGTGGGCAGTAAATAAATCACAAGGTTAGTTATGGCCTGCCCTTTTAATCCCATCATAGGAATTTTTTCCCTTTTATGAATATCATTATACTTTAATTTTTGGTTCACTTTCTGTCTTCCCAGAAGGCTGGAATCTCGGTGCATATGACTAGTTGCTTGCTATATCCTTTGTGCCTAAAAGAGCACCGAGCACATAACAGGTGCTCCCTGAGGACTGACTGGAAGAGTGGATGAGTAAATGGTAGAAGGGCCGAGGAAGTATAGGCAGTGACAATGACTCACCTTCACAAGTGATTGGGTTTTGATGCTTTGAAAGGATGAATAACAGTTTCTCGAAAGAAAGAAAGAAAGAAAGAAAGAAAGAAAGAAAGAAAGAAAGAAAGAAAGAAAGAAAGAAAGAAGAAAGACGTTATTTCTTGTCCTTAATCTCCTCCAGAGACTTCCATTGGCCAAGTGTAAGTAGGCAAGTTCTCATCCCAAGTATACAGGCTGCATGCAGTAGGTGGGAGGCTTTTGGTGGCAAGTGACAGAAGATACTGACAGCACTGGCTTAAGAACTAGGGGGCTGGGGTTGTGGCTCAGTGGCAGAGCATTTGCCTAGCATGCGTGAGGCACTGGGTTCGATTCCTGGCACCACATAAAAACAAATAAAGGTATTGGGCTGGGGATGTGGCTCAAGCAGTAGCGCGCTCGCCTGGCATGCGTGCGGTCCGGGTTCGATCCTCAGCACCACATACCAACAAAGATGTTGTGTCCGCTAAGAACTAAAAAATAAATATTAAAAATTCTCTCTCTCTCTCTTTAAAAAAAAAAAAGAACTAAACAATGGGTTGGGTTACATGAGAAGTCTGGAGGCAAGCAGCCTCCATGCCATCCTTCTGCAGGGTGTTAGCTCTCACGTGGTTGCAACACGGCTCTCACAGCGGTAGGCTTCACATGTACAAAGAAAAACAGCCAGCAACAGGAGAGACTTTTCTTCTTTTTGGTACCAGAGATGGAACCCAGGATCACTTTACCACGGAGGCGCATCCCCAGCTCTTTTTATTTTATTTTATTTCTTAAATTTTGAGCCAGGGTCCCACCCAGTTGCTAAGGCTGACATCACAATCCTCCTGAGTCACTGGGATTACAGGTGTGTGCCCGGCTGTTTCTTCTTTGGAGTAATAACACCTTTCCTATAGCCCCTGGACAGACTCACTTCACATTGGTCCTCTTCCTTATCCACCAGGATTGTCCCCTGTGAACTGTGTGACGGAACCGAGAAGAAGGGGTCCAGAACAGCCAGTTGTACCAATCCTGTGTTACATCTTGGGGCTTGCACTGAAGCTCTACCCTCTCTAGAACACATGGCTGTGCAGAGAAGGGTAGATGCCTATAAAAAAAAAACAAACAAAACCAACTGCGATTCTGTTAGGAAACAGAAAGGAAAGGAGACAGCTCATAGGTTGTAATCAATAGTGTTTGCAATGTTAAGCCTAGAGGAGGTAAGTTTCTGCTATGATCTGTTCGCTCCTCCCAAACTCTTGTTGAAATTTAATTGCTATGCCACGAAGAGGGGGGACCTTTAAGAGGTACTTAGGCCATGAGGGCTCCCTCGGGAATAAAGTGGGTTATTATAATGGGCTGAGTTTGCATCTCTCTCTCTCTCTCTCTCATCCTTCTGCCTTCTACCATGGGATGAAACAGCAAGAAAGCCCTCACTAAATGCAGACTTGATTTGGCCTTCCCAACCTTCATAACTGTGGCAAAGAAGTTTCTGTTCTTTATAAATTACCCAGTCTCAGGTATTCTCTTATAGCACCACAAAACTAAGATAGGCTCTGATTGCTTTGTAGATAAATGTCGCTCAACACTTTTGTTTATTCTATTGTGTGACTTTTGCTCATCTCCTTTGTCCTTCTGCATTAGTGGTCAGTTGAATACATCAAGCCCAATATCAATGAAGGAGTTTATATGTAGGGTGTACATATGAATCAAATTAATGAAAAAAATACTTTGATCAGACATGAGTGCACTTTCAGACAAAAAAAAAAAAAAAGCTCCATTTTGATGTGTCTGTTACTCTGAGACAGCCTACTGTACCCAGCTGTCTGATACTTGAGCCATGCTCTATCCTGGCCCTGTGCCCTTTGCCCGGGATGATTCCTCTTGTCTAGGAAGTCCTCACTTTGTAGTAAACATTGAGAAGTGACACTTCTGGCCTCCATTCTGTTCTTTGTCTAATAATCTAGTTGAGATTGGAAACCTCACAGCAACACTTCCAAAACCCCCTTGTAGCTAGGGTGTGGATCTGAAACTCCCTCTGTCAACCAGGTGCCCTCTGGTGAGATTTGGAGGCAGATGAAAAGAGAGGCCATGCTTTGGCTGCTGTTGTTGCAGCAAGTGGGGTCAGAGAGGTCATGTTAAAAGGCAGCTAATGTTTCTGGGCTTGGGGTCCCTCTGAGGGGCTAGTTGCCAGCTCTGTGGGTGTGGAAGGCAGCGGGTGGCAACAGCACTGTCCTGATTGTGGGATCACAGCTACTGTGGTGCCCTTGAACTCAGCACTCCAGGGGAAGTCCCTGACTTCTACCCACCCCTTCCCCGCCCCAGCCCTTTTTCAATTGTATAAGCCCCAGCTTAGTTCTCAGGAATAAATCTTTCTCTGCTTGAAATACCTAAAGTGGTTTCGTAAACCCGACTCATATTCAGCCTTCCAGACAAGTCTGGGTTTTTCTTGAGCCACGAGGTTAGGCTAAGTGCCTCCTCGAAGCCCCCAATGCCCCACTTTGCTGTCCATGCCTTCTCTGTGCTCCCAGCACCAGTGCTTGGCTCCCAGCAGGTGCATAGTCAATGCTTAGTGAACTGAAGCTTCCTCTGTCAAGAACCAGGAGGCTCTGAAATCTAGTCTGAGGGGCATCCCACCTTATGTTTGATCTGAAAAGTCCAAAGAAAAATTGCATCTGGATTTATTTTGGATACCAGATGAATCCAGAGCTGTCAGCTTTTCCACATGTTAACCACCCTAGACAGCAGAATTGAAGAATCCACCTAGTCCCCAGGAAACAGATGCTAAAGAACAAGGGAAACTGCTTATCTCAAGATGTACCATCTGCTGGGTCCCATACTTGATGAATGTGTGCTGCCAGGCCTACAGCAAGACCTGCAATTGACAAGAGCTTTGGACTCAGGGAGACCCGAGTTGGAAGGTAATGCAACCTTTGGCAAGTTATTCAGCCAAATTGTCTGAACCACAATTTCTTCATCTACAAAGTGGAGATAATAAAATCAATCACACAGGACTCTTGGAGGTCAGAGACTGTATATGTAAAATGCTTAACACAGGGTACACGCACAAGAAGCACTTCATATTCCTCAACAACTGTCGCCATAGTGATCCTCTTGGTTAATACATTCTGCCATAATTATGTTGCTTTACCTAATTTCCCTTTGGCCTAAGTACATTCAGATGTAATCAGCCTCAAACACACTTCTCTACTTCTTTCTCCTGAGGTATTCCATTTTACATGCTGATGTGATTAATCCTTTTTTTGTAGAAGACCCAGCTAAGTCCACTTTGGGTACTGTACCCAGGAGGCACCAAAACCACTTTTTCAGTGGTTCTCAAGTCTAGATGACAATTAGAATCACTGGAGAGTTAAAACAAAACAGCAACAAAAACAAAGAAACCTAAAAAGGTCTAGACCCCTCAACCAGAAATTCTGATTTAACAAGGTTCTTAAAGCTCCCCGGGTGATTGTAATGTGCTGCTGAGACCTCTTGATCAATGTGAGAAAGATTAGTACTTCTGTTACCTTGGGGAGAAAAGGAAAGCTGTTGCTTCTACTTTTCTATAATCTCCATCATGGTGTGGGAGGGGAGAAGACTAAAGATTATAGTTGAAATATTCCACTTATAATGTGAAAAAGACAGTCTCATTATCAACCTGAAAGATGGCTGGTGGTGCTAATCCTGGCTAATAGAAGGGCAAGAGGGGCGAACAGAGACACAGTAGGACATGGAAGGAGCTCATCTGGAAATACCTGTGAAGGAGTCAGGTTAGAATGTGGTGTCTAGCCTGTGCCAGCTTGTGTGCACCTGTGGCTGCTGATGTCAGGTACACGCACTTTGAGCCGGAGCAAATGAAATAAATGATCTCAGCTTTGGCATTACATTTAGTAAAAGCTAAGTGCCAAAGATAGCTGGCGATGGCCGGGAGTATGCTCAGAAATAAACTACATCTGAAAAATATAACTATTCCTTTCTGTTGTGAAAGTAATATACAAGAGAAAATTGGGAAAACAGAAAACAATGAACTCTCTACGTATAAACTAATAATAGTAGTCAAGATTTATATAGACTTATGAGGTGCTAGACATAGTTCTAAGCCCTTTATCAAATAAATTCATTTACTTCTGACTTCAGTTCAAAGAGGTAGATAATTATTTCTAACTCCATTTTACAGATAGGAAGGAGGGCCAGGAGCTGTTAAGTGACTTGACCAAGGGTGCACAGCTGGTAAGGGCAAAGCCAAAACTGAACTCATGCTGTACTTAACAGAGTATGGGCAACCTTAGAGATATAGTTCATACGGTAAATACTCAAGGATACAATGCCAGTTGTAGAGTCAAAAAAGTAAATGTTGTCTGTCATTCACTCATTCATTTATATCATATTTAGTGAAAGTATCTATATTTAGCATACCATTAACCCACTCAATTATCAAGATTATAAATAGTAATCACAGGATACCTGTTCATTCATACAGCATTCAGAATAATAGATATATAAGCAACATAAACGAATAAGATTAAAAATGCTATAACTATTTTCTGATGACAAAATCCAAAATCAATATTTCAAAACTTATGGAATGTCATACACTTATGAAACTGAATATTTGGCATTATACTATAGACTTTTGACAATTAATAAACATACCTTGAACAATAATTTCATGAGTTTGGCTTGATAGAAATAAGTTTAACATAACAGTAGTATATTCAACTCAGAAATTTCATGTTTGTTGAGTGACTTTTTGGATAAATAGTTGGAAGAATAGATGAGTAAACTGATAGATAAGGATGCTTGGCAATGCTCTAAGTGCTTAACAATTGCAATGGTATGGGCCGGGGACATAGTTCAGCAGCAGAGCATTTGTCTACCGTGTGCCAGGCCCTGGGTTCCATCCCAGCACCACCATACAACACACACTCAAAAAATTAAATAAATTTCATCTTTTAAAAAAAGCAGTGTTTTCTAGTTTGTTAAATACTAAAGATCTAGGAGAAAATTGTGTGTTCTTTAATTTTAAATTAATAAAAATTCTATATATTAATGATGTACAACATAATGTTTTGATATGTTTGTATGCACTGTGGAATGGCTAAATCAAGCAATTTAGCATATGCATTGCCTCACATAGTTACCCCCCCCCCACCCTGGGGTAAGAACACTTAAAATTCTTTTAGCAATTTTCAATTGCAACATATTAACTGTAGTCATCAAGGTGTATACAAATTTTGATTTCTACCCTTTCCATGTACTAAATAAATACCTTTAAGGAAGTCATTTTGGTGCCAGTTTCTTCATCTGATTGTTACAATGATTAAATGAGGTAAAATTACTTAGGATCCTACCTGGGATATGTTAAAGATCATATTTTAAATTATCTTTAAATTGAAGTAATATAGGAAAAGAAGAAAAATTAAAATGATACAAAAAGCTATACAATACAAAAATAAATCTCTTTCCAATGTATTTTTTTCTATTGTTCCTATTATTAGAGCTCGACAAGCAAAAGTAAAATTTGTGTTGTTCATTAAGAAGAGAGGTTTGTAAACCAGTAGACAACATACTTTGAGTCAGAACCAAGTGATATAACACAAGTAATCTGGCTAAATTCCAGTATGAGTGATTAACATTATCCAACTTCAAATAATTGTTATTATTAGCCAACACTTGTTCATCCCCAATAATATGCACGTTGCATATAAGGCACAGAATGAGCTAGGCCTCCCTTGGCATGCTCACAGTCTGCACATACTTTCCACTGAGGGTGCCCCTTTCTTCTGGACTGCTATGCCACAGCATTTCAACTCCCACTACTTTCAACCCGGCCATCTGCAGACCTCGAAGGCTAAGTGGTTCCAAAAACCCAGAGATAAAAATACGAATACCTGTAGAATTCCAGAAAATGAACGATGTAATGTACTCTGTAAACAATTATTAATAGTTATGGTGTCTCTGAGGCAATTTACTCCTTTTTTAACTGTGAGGCTGATATTAACACACATATTCTTCATTATTTCCCATCAAGCTTTGTTGAGAAGCAGGAGGGAGATGGTTGTTCTGAAATTTAGTCTCCTAATGTGTACAAATGTGAGCCAGGACAGATGATCGACAACAATTCACATTTGAATCTCAGTCACTGAGTCCAGTTCTGAGTCCTTCAAGTGTCCCCAGGCCCTCTGCCTATTTTGCCTTCCGCCCTGTGTAAGGAAGGGGTGAGAGAGGTGGATACAATTTAAACCCTCTTTTAAGTGTGTGAATGAATGTTAAATTTGCTAAACACCTCAGTCTTCCAACCTAATTAGAACGCGTAGAAAAGAGGCATTTGTAGGACATTTAAAACTTCCAGCATAATAACCCATCTGGAGTCCAACAGGCTGATGCGCGCCCCCTCCCCCCGCCCTCGGGGCGCGCAAGTGCGCAACTCAGCAGCAGGCAACTCCCCAGCGTCCTGCCCAGTGCAGAACCTTGAGCCGTGGGCGATTCCGGACCTGCCTGGGATTCTAAATCCCGACCGATAAGGACTAACAAGTCTCCCAAACCCAGAAAAAAAAAAAAATTCTTGTCACAATAGAAGGATTTTGTTACGATATGCAAAAGTAAAGGTCGAAGCCTGGGAGATTTCGATAATATGGGGGTGTGTGTTTGGGGGGGGGTAGTGGTAAAGATCGTGAATGCTGCTCCCAACTACTTGGATTCCGACCCTAGAACTGCGATTTGAGCACCTACTGTGTGCCAAACGCTCGGATGCGGCGGCGAACAAGATTGTCGAGTTCGGTTGCCTAGGTCAAGCTGCTAAGTCTCGTCTTCTTCACCTCTAGGGAGCACTTGCTTCAGGGAACTGTAAGGATTTCGGGTCTTGCATTAAGATGCAAACGATTAACAAGTTGTTGGGGGTTCAATAAGCATTAGCTCTTCTTTCACCCAATCCAATACCTCGAAGGAGAGAGACAGGTGCTGCAGCTAAAAATGATTCTTTGAGTAGTTGTTTATACAAGCGCTGGACTCTGTAAAGAAACCTGGTGGGAGCCCTGAGTGCGATGGTTCGTAATCTACCACACCGCAGCGAAGTGAGTCCCGAACTAGCGAGCGCTCGCTCAGAACTCCGGAGGGACTTCTGGCCAGGGTTTCCCGCCCGGGTTCTCAAGGCGGCGTGATTAGCATTCGCCCCACCCCCGCCATTTGCCGACTCACGATTGGCCAGTTTTCTTCGGCTGCCGGCCCAGGGAGGGGCCAGAGGGCGCCTAGGGAGAGGCCGAGCCTGCGGGGCAGTGGGAGGGGACGCGCGGAGAGCTTGGCCGGGTGGCCCACCACTCGAGCCCAGGCTTGAGGGGGCGGGGCCGGGGCGGGGCGTCCCGGCGGGCATTAGAGGCAGGTGACCCGGGCAGGGAGGGAGAGGGCAGTCAGCCCGCGGCCGTGTCCCCGCTGCCGTCTGCGCTGCTCTGTGCCCACCGAAGGTGGGCGGCAGGGTGCGAGAGCGCGGGGGAGGAGCCGAACAACCCGTTGCTTCCCGATAGCACAGCCACCGCCCCCAGGAGTTCGCTGGAGCGCGGAGCCCCCTGCAGGGGAGGAGGCGAGCGGCGGGCGGGACGCGGCGGCGAGCGCGCACCATGCAGTCCCGGCCGGGCCAGCGCCGGCTGCTAGCCGTGCTGTGAGGCGGCCGGGTCTCCCGGCCACCGCATTCCGCCTTCCTCCCTCCCAGGTGCTGCAGGCGCTCTCGCCTTTGCTCCGGCTCTCGGACCCGGGTGGAACCCACGGCCTGCCTCTGCCCCACTCCGCCTGGAACATGACGGGGGGCCCGGAGGAAGAGAAGGCGAGTGACAGGCCTGCGCCGACCCTGTTCGGGGGGCGGCCAGCTCTCTGAGACGCCCCCACCTGCTACCATGTGTCGCCGCCACGGTTACCCAGCCTGTCGCTAAACTTTCCCGGCCTCGGCCCGACTCGGAGTTGCGTTTTTGAGCCGAGTGTCCCAGGGACAGAAGACCCAGGCTGGCTGCAGACATCTGCCCTTCTCGGCGAGATCCTTAGAGGTGAGAGCCCGCGCCTTCCCTTTTGCCCTGTTCTCCCGGTTTCTCTGCCCTTTTCCGGGGGCTGAGCGCTCTGACCCCGAGGCACAGCCTGGAGGGCCCGGCCAGGAAAAGAAGGGTGGTGAGAGTCAGTACTTTGGTTCCAGGAGGTTGAGGGGAGGAAAAGAGAGTGGATAAGTTAGAGATTGGAGACCGCTTTGGGTACGGAGCCGTTGGGACGCCCCTCCAAGAGGAGAGGTTGCAATTTTTCTCCCCCCGCCCCTTCTCTTTTAAAAGAGTCCCTTCCCTGGAATTGGAGCCCTGACCGTCCCTCTCCAGCCCTGTCCTGCGAAGAGCTGAGTGCTGGCAGTGGAGGCAGCGCTTTCCCGAAGCAGTTTATCTTTGGACGGATTTCTTTAAGAGAAAAAGAAACCAACAGGTTGCCAACCCCGGCGTCACACGGGAGACTCCGGAGAGGGAAGCCCCAGCCCCGGTTTCCTCTGCCTGCCTTGGCCCCTCGCGGGCTGCAGGAGGAGAGGGGAGGGAGGGGGCGATGGCTCGGCCTGACCCGTGCGCGCCGCCCTCGCTCCTGCTGTTGCTTCTGGCGCAGCTGGCGGGCCGGGCGGCGGCCGCCTCCAAGGCCCCGGTGTGCCAGGAAATCACGGTACCCATGTGCCGCGGCATCGGCTACAACCTGACGCACATGCCCAACCAGTTCAACCACGACACGCAGGACGAGGCGGGTCTGGAGGTGCACCAGTTCTGGCCACTGGTGGAGATCCACTGCTCGCCGGACTTGCGCTTCTTCCTGTGCTCCATGTACACGCCCATCTGCCTGCCGGACTACCATAAACCGCTGCCGCCCTGCCGCTCCGTGTGCGAGCGCGCCAAGGCCGGCTGCTCGCCTCTCATGCGCCAGTACGGCTTCGCCTGGCCAGAGCGCATGAGCTGTGACCGTCTCCCTGTGCTGGGCCGCGACGCCGAGGTCCTGTGCATGGATTACAACCGCAGTGAGGCCACCACGACGCCCCCCAAATCCTTCCCAGCCAAGCCCACCCTCCCAGGCCCGCCAGGGGCGCCGTCCTCCGGGAGCGAGTGCACAGCAGGGGGCCCATCTGTGTGCACGTGCCGCGAGCCCTTCGTGCCCATTCTGAAGGAGTCGCACCCACTCTACAACAAGGTGCGAACAGGACAGGTGCCCAACTGTGCGGTGCCCTGCTACCAGCCGTCCTTCAGCCCAGACGAGCGCACGTTCGCCACCTTCTGGATTGGTCTCTGGTCAGTGCTTTGCTTCATCTCCACTTCCACGACGGTGGCCACTTTCCTCATTGACATGGAACGCTTCCGCTATCCGGAGCGCCCAATTATCTTTCTGTCAGCCTGCTACCTGTGCGTGTCGCTGGGATTCCTGGTGCGCCTGGTGGTGGGCCATGCCAGTGTGGCCTGCAGCCGGGAGCACAACCATATCCACTATGAGACGACAGGCCCTGCGCTGTGCACCGTCGTATTCCTGCTAGTCTACTTCTTTGGCATGGCCAGTTCCATCTGGTGGGTCATCCTGTCGCTCACCTGGTTCTTGGCGGCTGGCATGAAATGGGGCAATGAGGCCATTGCGGGTTATGCACAGTACTTCCACCTAGCAGCGTGGCTTATTCCCAGCGTCAAGTCCATTACGGCGCTGGCTCTGAGCTCGGTGGACGGGGACCCGGTCGCCGGCATATGCTACGTGGGCAACCAGAACCTGAACTCTCTTCGCGGCTTCGTCCTGGGCCCACTGGTGCTCTACCTCCTGGTGGGCACGCTCTTCCTCCTAGCGGGCTTCGTGTCGCTTTTCCGCATCCGCAGCGTCATTAAGCAGGGCGGCACCAAGACGGACAAGCTGGAGAAGCTGATGATCCGCATTGGCATCTTCACGTTGCTCTACACGGTGCCCGCCAGCATCGTGGTGGCCTGCTACCTGTACGAGCAGCACTATCGCGAGAGCTGGGAGGCGGCTCTCACCTGCGCTTGCCCGGGCCCCGACGCCGGCCAGCCGCGCGCCAAGCCCGAGTACTGGGTGCTCATGCTCAAGTATTTCATGTGCCTGGTGGTGGGCATCACGTCGGGCGTCTGGATCTGGTCCGGCAAGACAGTGGAGTCGTGGCGGCGCTTCACCAGCCGCTGCTGCTGCCGCCCGCGGCGGGGCCACAAGAGCGGGGGCGCTATGGCCGCCGGGGACTACGCCGAGGCGAGCGCGGCGCTCACTGGCCGGACCGGGCCTCCGGGCCCCTCTGCCGCCTACCACAAGCAGGTGTCCCTGTCGCACGTATAGGAGGAGGCCTCGGCCGAGGGACCCGTGCTGGGAGTTGAGGGAGGGGGTTGTTTTGTTTCGTAGCTTGAGAAGGTCACTTCCGTTTACCTTCATGGTGCTGATGCCCCCTCCCAGGACAAGTTGGAGAGAGGGAAAAGGGGCAGTTTCCAGGGAGCCTCTGTCCCAGTTCTTCAAGGGGCTCTGCTCACGTGTATACTGATTTGCGTTTCTTACTGCCGCCTTTAGAGGAACCCTCTTTTTAATTTATATGTATTGTTCTTAATTTTTAACTGTTGCATTTTGGCAACAGAATTTACCTTTGCTTTGGGGGCTTTACAATCCTAAAGTTGGCATTGTAATGAGGTTCCATTTGGTTCAGGTTTCTTTGAACTGTGTGGTCTAAATTGGGAAAATATATTTCCTATACGTGTGTCTTTTAAAAAAAATGTGAACAGTGAAAGTTTGGGTTGCTGTGACTGGAAAGGAGTGGAGTGTGCTTTTTCAACTAATTTCTCCTTCCACTGCTTAAAAGTGTCCAAGCTGCTTTAGAACTGCTGCACGTCCCAGAGTACAGCCCCAAGTCCTCCCAAGGAGGGGAACATAATGTGCTAGGGCCTCTCCAGGTTGACAGGTTTAGGTGAGGGAGTGCCTGGGGATTTTGTGTGCATCCTTAACCTTGTCAGTTGAGCTTTGGGTTCTTTGCAGCAGTCATTTTCATTCCTAACAGAACCAGTGTCCTGTCCAAGTTAGAAGTAGCAGCTAGAATGTCCGCCATAAACATTTGCAATAATAAGAGCCTAAGAGATAGTGATTGGTTGAGCCTGAATTCTACACTGGTGAGATGGTAAGCTTTGTGCCAGAGAGGGGGTGGGTGGTTCTTAATAAGCTTCTGTGATCCCTTATTATTTTAAAGGAACTTGTGTTACAATTTTGGTGAAAGTACACCCACTCTCCTCTTCTGGAAATACTTAGGGATTGTTGCTAAAGAGGGCTCCCTTTTAAATTAAAGGACTAAAACGGATATGCTTCCAGTAATTAAAGTAAATTTCCAGCTTCTCTTATCTGCTCCCTCACCCTGCCTCCTTTATCATGTTAAACAGTCTTTTTGCTTTTCTTATTCCTTCTCTCCTGGAGAGCTGTGATTAGAAACCACACCCACCCTCCAGTGAAGTGCTTGAACTGGGGGAGGGAGGCTGGCTACCTGTGAACAAACATTGGCCCCAAGGAGGGAAAACAAGTGTCCCTGGACTCAGGGCTAGTTTTTTCCCCCCAAAGCAGCAATACAGTGCTCTCTGCAGTCTCTGAAAACAAATGAGACCCACAACATCCTTGCATAAGCTTTTAAATATGATTAGTGGAATACCATTGCAAAAAGAAGCCCCCTCCCCACTCCACTTCCCGCCTCACCTTAATTTTCCTTTTCCTTTTCTGAGAAAAAGAAAGGCCTATAACACACTTGCTGTTACTAGGTTTGTTTTCCTAATGTTTAACCATTCCTTCATATATGAAAGCCTATATCTTGGTGAATACACACACACACACACACACACACACACACACACACACTTCTTTGCCTTCGGAAGTTATGTTCTCCTAATCTGTTTAACCATTCATTCATGAAGAGTGTGAGGACACCACTGGGAAAGGGGTGACAGTGCATCAGCCAGAAAATACCAGTGACCAGGACTGAGTGGAAAAGAAATTTAATGGCCAAAGCAATTAAAGACTGAGAAAGCTTCCCTAGGGAAACAATTGGAATCTAGGCATTTGAGCTTCATTTGAACCAAAGTTAGAAAAATTTAAACCTACATCATTTTTCCTTCATGAGTGTTGAATAGACAAATACATAGTTGCCACAGGGAATCAAAATAGTTGGTGGAGAGAAGTCTAGTACCATAGCTCCAAAGCTGATCACATTAATAAAATGGTACTGCTCTTGCCCAGCTCATTCTCTGAATCAAAATTAAAAATCCCGGAGATTTGACAGAACCGTGTATACATAGCTACAGAACTTTGTGCATATCTTATTCCTCTATTTATTCAGAAGTCTCTTCCTAGAACCTTGCAATGGATCTCCTGCCTGGCCACCAGTTCCTCTCCTTTTTTCAAATGAGATCACCTTGACCTCATACCTCATTTAACATGTCTTCCCAGAATCTGCTGCCTTCAGATTTGGGCTATCCCCCTTCCTTCAAATCCAGAAATGATGCACTAAATCTAAAAGTTGTAGGATGAAGTGAGTGGATTCACACTTTTTTTGTTGTTGTTGTTGTTGCAACATCCCAAACCTGAAAACAATTAATTTAACCTGCAAAATTAGACAGTTAAAACATAGCTGCTAAGTCAAGAGAGGCAAGCAAGATAGGTTATGCTTTCTGAGATCTAGTTTCAGAAGCACCTTTTATTCTCACCTCTGCTCTCCTTCCCTCATTCACTAAAAGAAACAAAGATACCCCCCCCCTTTTTAGTACTCAGCCAACCCACCTAGGGAGAACACTGCATCTATTTATAGCCACTCCTTATTTCTACCATTATACTTATTTTTCCCTGTTTTGCATTTTTGTTATAAAAACAAATCATACTCATGAAAACAGTTATAAAATGAAAGGCTATGGGGTAGGTAGTTCAGCAACTTCTTCACAGCCACCCTTGTGAGGTTGGGATGTAGGGGCCCTGTTTCTATCTCAGATCCAGTTTCTGGACTGTCCCTTTCACTGTCCAGTTTTAAGCAGTGTCTCACTTCACAGGTTAGCTGGGGAGGATCTAGGTAGAAAATTGCTTGCAGGAACTAATGGGACCTCAGTGGCCAGATTGTGGGAAGTTTTTAAAATTTATATTATTTCCCTCCTCGCATTTTGAAGTTGTCTAAATTGGCTGGAAATAATTTTTCTTGGTGCCTTATTGGTTTATTCACACAAACCTTTTGTCAAGTTTCCATGTGACTATTGCCGATGACCAGGTCCTGTGTGTATGTGTTGTGTGTAATTGTGTGCACGTACAAGCTTAAATAATATGCCGACAGCACTGTTTCAAAGTTGGTATTCATTAGGCAGTTCCCTCCTGGGCCAGGGCTGCACTAATCTTGACACGGGCTGCCAGGAGAAAACCTCATGGATCACACACCGAACCTTAATAACAGCATCGGTGACCTGCACTCTCTGGTACAGAATGGGAACCCCAGAGCTAGGAAGCGCAGTTGTATATTTTAATGAACTGCTACCCCTGCTAAAGAAGCTTCTTTCACTTTTGTGCTCTACAGAAAGACCAAGGGGGGTAGGAGGGACAAAGCTTTGAATAACTGCTTTCTAACACCGAATGTGGCAAACAGGATGGAGCACATCACAAATCTAGGCAGGTGTGAGGTACAGTGACTAAGAATCCCTGCTCCCTCTGCATGCCCTTTTTTGTCTCCAAAGTCTAATCAAGTGATTCTGGGGAAGAAATATGCCTGGGTTGGGGAGGGTGGTTCTGAAAGAAAAAAACTACCAAGACATTAAAGAAGGGTGAAGGATAGGCAGGATGTAAGTTAACCTGACTCAAAACTCAGAAGCTTCTAGCAGCCTGATGACAATTACAGGATTTATTTCAGCCAGCATGTCTGTCTGTCTATGGCACATCTTTTAAAGACAATATTACTTCATGTTTTTACAAACTGTATGTACAGTATGTATGTCTTGTGGGTGTGTATATACATAATATATATTATATATATGAGAGATTTAGTGATTTTTGATACGGGTTTGGTGCAGGTGAATTTCTTACTGAGCCAAATGAGGCACATACCGAGTCAGTAGTTGGGAGTCCAGGGCATTCAGTACTTTTTATGATTTCCTAAGTGTGTAGTGCCTACCCCATGCAGTTTAGTTACTGTCGCTGTCAAATCCAGAACTCGCATCAGAGCCAGCGATATTTTATTTGTAGACAATCAATTTTAATCTATAAATTATTACTGACAAATGATTATAATTCAGAATCCATAACACTAATAAAAAGAAACCCAGAGCATCATAAAGAGGTTTTGTTTTGTTCCTGGAAGTAGAGCAGCAATTGTACATGGTTATGTTAGTCTCAAGATACTTAAGTTGCTGACCTTATTTCAGAAAAAATAATTTGTATGAATTCTATTTGTGGGAAGGTAAAATAATGGTTTGAGATTTTTATCAAATATGGAGATTAGTTATTTATGAAAACAAAGAAATGTCTATTTTTGTTTCTTTGTTCCCAATTAATGTAGATAACTTTTAAAATGCATTAAAGCAATGGTAAAGAAAATAAACAGATGCCCTTCAAGTCTCTTTCTCATTTATGGAGAGACTCTCTGCTTTCTAAGATGGTCTGAGGAGTGGATTCTAACTTTGTAATCTGGTTTTTCAGATGTTCTTAAAATATAAACATCAAAGTCTAATAAGTAAAAATTGAAGCAAATTCCAGTCACCAGAAGCAGAATGAATTAAAGCATGTTTTACTGGAATATACTTTATTTCTCCTGCCCATCCTGTGATTGTTCAATTATTCATTTGAAGAAATGAAGGGAGCTCCATGGAAAAACGGAGATATTGCCTGTGTTCTGTTTTATAAACACTGTCTACACACTGAACCTATTTGGAGAGAGATGATGCAATACTGTGTGTATTTGGTTAAGGGACGACTCCCAAAATTGCTTATCATTCAGTAATTGGATTCACTACTAGGTATTGAGCTCTAAATTCATCAGGGAGCCTGGAGAAGATAGAAATTGATTTAGAGTCCATACTTACCTGTCACCTAAGCACAGATGCTTAGTGAGCCTGAATACTATCGCCAGTGCATCTTCTACTGATTGCTGCTTTGGCAAAAAGGAAAATTAGCCACCGATGTTCCAAATACCACTTCATTTTAATGCCTGGTATGTGAGTGTTCTCTAGCAATGTTTGGAGGCAATGTGAGAAAATGTGTGGGAAAACAAAGGTAATTAAGAGTTTAAAATATCAAGGGAGACAACAAATCCATTTAGAGGTGGGAATAACAACATGAGAGTATTTAATTCAATGTCAATGGACACTGAGTGCTATGGACTTTATTAGATTGGTACATAAGTTAGGACAGGGGGGTTACGGGAAGGGATATAACAGGTAGGCATGATGCTGACAGAAAAGCAGTTACAGGTACTTAGGTGTACAGGACTAGCTGGCTCATCTCTCCCTTGCTTTCTCCTGGCTCATTTTTAGCCAACTGAAAAGGGAGAGAGGAGTACTCACAAGCTGGAGCAGAGACTTTAGAAAAAGTTGGAGAAGAGGTGAACCCAGGATGATATCATAATGCTTCTATTAGTGATTTATTTACAGAGCTCTTCATTTGACGATGGAAACAGGGTTGAAAGGCAGAATGGTTATAAGCCTAGGCTGGGGAGTCAGACAACTGAAAATTCAAATCCCAGCTCCACTACTAATGGGTTGTGATTCTGAATTTAATCTCATAGTATTTTTTTCTCATCTGTGAAAAGGGGGAAATAGTGGCAATTATATCTTAGGGTTCAGAAGACTTAAAGGATTAAACCAGGTTAAAGCAGGGTTAAGGTAGTAAAGCTAGGAGGCAGAAGATGTTCAGGCATGGAATAGAAAGGGAGTTGAGAGGATGTTTTCAAATTTGAGTCTGCATAAGAATCACTTGCAGTTCCTGTGAAAAATGTAAATTCCCAAGCCTCCGCCCCAGGAATTGAGATTTAGTAGCTCTGGGACCAAAGAAGCTCCCCCTTCCCCCAAAAAAACTTTTAATTTTGGAATTTTCTGCAAATCTAAAGTTATCCAAGATTTAAAAAGTTGCAAACGTTACCCATCAACATCGTATATTTTTACAGGATGTTATTGTAACATTACAACTAAGAAGTCAGTGTTAGCACATTACAGTGACCTCCAGGCATCAGATTTTCTACCAATGTTCCTATCTGTGCAGAACCCAATCCAGGATACCACTGCATTTATTGAAGATTCATGTTTCACAGGCACTTTCGGCTGATGAGGCAGTGGTTTGCAGATCAAATCTTGAGAAGATCTGGGACACTGAAAGGACTGAACAAAATCATATCATCCCATCCCCTAGCTGAGGAGTGAATGCAATTTTAAAGCAGAAGGTGGTGGAGTTTTGGAAATGGAATCCTCTCCATTAGTTCCCTTAAAAACAAGATGCCTAATGCCAGTTGAAATACCGGATTTTGGAAGGTGGCAGATACTACACCTAGTCCAGTCTAGATCAAAGATATATGCTTAAGGATGTGAGCAGCTCAGGGGAATTGCTAAGAACGAGTTAGAGATAGCTGCTTTGGGGAAAACAGGACTCAGGTGAACAAAGAGACTAGGGGGCATGTATGCCATATAAAAGCTTTATTTTCTTGAACCTGGTGCTAATACTTTGGAAGTCACAGTAAATAATATCAAGCATTGCCAGGTTGGAGGCTAGCTGAAGGTCATAGGGTAAAGCTAGAATGGACTGCTCGTGGGAGGGTCCCAAAGGGCTGAAGCAGCAATTGAGTCAGCTCTCACTCTGAGCTACATACAAGAGACACCATCTTGGGATTGCAGGTAAAGGATTGAATTGAGAAGATGAAGCAGTAGATTGTAAGACAAATTTCTGTGTCCTTTGAGGTATTTACAGAAGATACTACTTATATCTTAACTAAGGACCTTAGGGTCTGGGACTATCACACCAAATCTCCCTAATCTCATTGAAATTGCTTAGTCCTTAAATCAGTTAAAATAACCACCCATCCTTTTACCCCACTGGATTCCAGATTCCTCTTAATTTCTGATTTCACTTTCCTGAGGCGCAGGAAGAACAAATAAAGCACAAACTGGTATTCTTAAACTTTATCTCACGGCTAAGGATGCATTTTCACTTGCCAAACCCAGTGAAAACTGCCTTAGAAACCAAATGTATTGCCCCCTGTACTAGGGAAAGGAGCCTTACCGAAGAGCTCCTGGATCTTTTGTATTGTTTGCTGGCAGTGTTAGGCCTTCAAGGTTAAGTGTCTGGCTGTTAGAATTATGATGATCTAATGATAGATTCTAGGTACAATCTACAGATTTTGCATGCAAACAAGCTGTAACTTGGGTTATTTTTCTGCCAGCTGTTAAGTACTTTTCCAAGTAGTTCTATTCTCAAGAATGGGTGAGGAAACAATTTACTGTCATCTTAAACATGGTTAAAGATTTTAGCTTGCTTGTGTGCAAACTAGTTTCCAATAAGACTAAATTGTTTTCTAGTTAATTTTTTTTAAGATTTCCTTTTTAGTTGTAGATGGACACAATATCCTTGTTTTTTTTAATGTGGTACTGAGGATCAAACCCAGTGCCTCACACACGCTGAGCCTCAACCCCAGCCCCAGATATTTGCTTTTTTTAAACCAAAAAATACTGCATTTAGGAGCTGTAGGAAACTAAACCAAGAAGTCAAACTGTTATAAAATCAGGATTCAATGCTATTGGATTTCAATAATATATGGGCATATTGGGAGGTAAATAGGAAATATGAAAATAAAAAGCTTAGATGGAATCAGATATGTGAATTTTTTTAAAATATATTTTTAGTTGCCCATAGACCTTTATTTATATGCAGTGCTGAGACTCGAACCCAGTGCCTCACACATGCTGGGCAAGCACTCTACCGCTTAGCTACAATTACAGCTCTGATTTGTGAAATTTTTTTAACCAGAAAATACCGAGACTAAAGTTGTGGTGTCAGGATGAACCACATAAAATTACTCAGGCAATTATTTTTTGACTGGCAAAATGGCAGTTTCACTGGGTTTAAATATGTATTTCAAATTTGTTTTTTCCTTGTCATGAAAGTTCACAATACACCAATTAAAATTTGAGGTCTATATTACAGTCTTAAAAATGAAGCCAAAAAAAAAAAAAAAAACCCACCTCAAACCCCCAAATGAAAATGAAGTCAAATCCAGGTAGATATTTCTTTTATCTTTCCTAGGTATAGAATCCTAAGAAAACTGCAGTTACCACCTTACTAGCAATTGGTTTCTATGCCTCAAAACAATGGCTGCCCTGCCTTCTAGAGGTAAGGCCAATTGGAGGATCAACTTTTAGTGAAACTACTTATTCTGCCAGTTAGTTCTTAAGTCAGACTCATGTCCACTGTACCTCTCCCAAATCTTTTATCTTATGTGTCAGCATTTCTGCTTAGTGAGTGATGTTACAGGATGTAAATTATACTAGTTTATGATAGGTGTTTTTCCCTTCTAAATTAAATCAGATCATTTATCCTAATCAGCAACATCAAGAACAAAGTGATCATTTAAAGACTCAACCTTAGGTACCAAAAGTACCTCATGTTCTAAATCTACATTATGCCTTTCTTTTCTCTTGGCATGTTTTCCCTAAATTTTTCTTTTAATCTGCTTTTCCCTCTCAGGGAGAATAACAACTATTCAAAGATGCCATCTAATGCACTATCCCACTAACTACCGTGGCCAGTGATTTTTAAGCATAATAAACTGCTTTCAAGTGGAAGAGAACCTAAACACAATAAATGAATTGCTATACCTTCAGCAGAGGCATAGGTCATATCAGTTTCAATCGTCAGTTTAAAAGTCTATTAGGACAGATGTAAACATTTAAGATCTGGAAAGATGTGATACTATGAGAACAGAGAAGTGTTACAAACACAGTGACCAAATTTTAATTAAAATAGAGTTTTATTAGCTTTTCTTTTAATATAAACATGAGAAATAAAAACCACATAAGTTGTAGCATTCTTTTCAAAATAAAACTGCAATCAATACTTGAATCTCCAAGCTCTGAACTCCATAAACAATGTTTTTTTTTCTTGAGGTGGTAGATTGTAATATTTCAAATACCATTATTTATCACTTATGTCTGTCCTTTAAAACTGATGGAACCTTCAGCACTCAGTATAACATGAAGCATTGCTATATTGAGAAAGAGTATTCCTGGCTCATTAAGTGCAAGATTCCTAGGATTACATTTAAGTAGAGAAATGGATTTCACATAGTTTAGAACACTAATCGTTTTATATTTCAAATTTAGGTGACATTGTTATCAACCTCGTATATTTACTCCTTGCCTGAAGTAAGGGTTCCTAAGGTTCGTGTAAGTTCTCTCTTATATAGCAGGACTTGAAATGAGATACCTACAACCAGGTTAACACTTAGGATTAAAAATAAAAAAGAACAAGTACTTTCATATCACCTGCTATTAGGGTCCAATTTCTTTTCATTTATTACATGTGAATTAACACTCCTCTTTCATAATCTTCCTTTACCAAATCTATAGAAAAGAAATTTAGGTGATCAAAGCAGATACAACACAATCCTGAATAAACTACTTTAAAAAGAGGAGGGTACCTTTTTAAAATTTTTTTTAACCTTTATTATTTATCTCCACAAATTTCAGTGTAATTTTAAGCTTTGACACCTGTAGAAGTATAAATTCTACAAACTTCAGAACATCATTTGAAAGTTAAATTACATTTCTTTTAAATTTAATTTTGCAAAAATATTGAGCTTTCAATTTTTTGTTCCAGTCAATGTTTGCCATCTTCAAGAGGGACCGCTAACAAAAAATTGAAGAGCTCAACATTCCAAATTTATAAAATTAAGTTTAAAAGAAATGTAATTAAACTTTCAAATGATGTTTTGAAAGAGTTTGTAGTTTTTACACTTTTACAGCAGGACATAGTTACCAAAACTTAAAATTGCAATAAAACTTTCAGGACACCTGGTCTTTATCTGCTCAGTTATCATTGGACCACCATGTTGGCGCATTATGAAAATATCTTTTTAATACATTTACTTAATAAGAGGAAAATTATCAGAAAGCGAGAAGCACCATTAATAGTTCACAAAAAAAAAAAAATGCAGTGTGGACCCAACAGAAGTAGGTAGTCAATAGGTGATACGTTCTCTTTATGACCCCAAACATGCCAAAATGCTAATAAGTAGTGCCTGCAAAATACATGAATGGCAAGTGTTATCCAGTAGCTTTTTGGTTTAAACTGATTGCCAATAATGACTAGCAGCTTCAATGATATGATACAGTGGGAAGGAAGAACCTTCAATACCTAAAAATGCTACAGGTTGCTCCTAAGTGGCTTCATGAGTGTTAAGTGGGCTGGGGGTGGGCCAGTGCATTTTTAGCACATGCTAGGCCCTGGCTTTGAGTCCCAGCACCACAAAAAAAAAAAAAAAGAGTACCATGTTTTAATGGTAATACTGCATCAATTCTGAAGGCATATGCAGCAATGGAGAAGGGGAAGAAAAACAGAAAAAACAAAAAGTTATATGGTTAGTGTTTTTAAAAGTCTAAACATTTAAATGATTAATTAAAAAACCTCACATAGTTCACAGCTATTGGCCTACACAGTAAGCAAATATCTGCATGTGGGTTGAGAGCTTTTGCTTTGGAGTGGTTTTTGTTAACTCTGTTTACATTAAAAAGGACAAAAAGTGTGTTTGTTGCTTTGACAAGGTCCCATTCTTTCCTATGGAGTGCAACTGTCATTGTCCATGAGTCTCTTGAATTCGAGGTCTTTCCTTCTGATGAAAATACTAAAACTTTGCTGGTTTTTGAGCAGGAGTGGTGATATTTCATCCAGTCTTTGTAGATGAGAGGCTTATGATGTTATTACCCCTCAATTCTCCCTTTTAAGAGAGGATAGCATTAGAGCGCTGAATACCAATGAAATTATCAGCGCTGAAAGACCTTCTCATAGCAGCTCTACATAAGTCTTTGTATTTGTCTTCACACAATCTTGAAATGGCCTAGGAAAGTCAATTAGAACACAAGTAGAATTTTTAAAAAGATTCCAACCTTAAAGGAAAAACACAAACTGATGTTAAGCCCCACATGCATACTCCTTTAGATAACTTCATAGTTGTAGCTACCTTGGCTATAAGGCTTTATAGCACAAGATTCTGGATATGCTACTTCCTATAAATTATTTTAAGAGCCAGGAGAACTTTATTATTATTTAAAAATTGAGTTTCCAAAGATGTCAAAGATGCTATGAAAGGCTTCTAACAGCAGTATCATCTGTTACTTCTGTGAAACAATCGGTATTCAGTTTTCAAATTCTACACATCTTCATTAGTTATTATATATTCTAAGAAAATTACAATGAGGCAGAAAAAGGTGCTACTTTGCTTGCACATTAATTATGATAGAAAAACATAATTCTAAGATATCACCCAAATTATCACAAAAGGTGCCATTTTAAAGTTATGTGTCACTTTCGTGGTGAATGATTTTTGGTGTATACTCACCAAAAGTCAACAAATATTACTTTAAGTTACCACCCCACTTAAGTTACCACCTCTATTAGAATCCTATTTACTTCCTACATCCAGTATTTGAAACACCACACCCCACTCCCCGAACTATAGGCCTCTTAGCAGAGCCACTAACTCTAATAAACTCATGGAATTGAACTGTGATTAATATAAACACTGACATAAATTTGCAAACTGAGTAATGACAACTGAATCACAAGTGAACCATAATATGTAAATATAATCAGGGACACAACTATACAAGTGCAAGGAATTACTTGTGCATGGTAATGTAGAAGGGAAGAGGTTCAAAAGGAAAAGCAAAGAACAGATTTTCTTTAAAAATATTCTGGATTATGGTCATAGAGGAGATAATGCCTAATTTTTAAAAAGTAATGTGGATCCTAGCATAAACCATGGAGGACTCATGAAACATGATACCAGAGTTAATAAACTCTTCAAAATGTGTTAATTTAAAAGTTTACCACTTTCCCAATCACTACTTAATATGATTTAGACCTAGATACTGGCTTTGGTGGCTGACAGAAAGCCCCACTTAGCAGAAACACAGGCTCACCTCTAGGTTTTGTGCTCTTTCTTTGCTGAGAGGAGCAAACAGAAAATTCAGGTTGTTGTCATCGGCTAAGGAGCGAAGGTCAAAGTAGTATTTGGCATAAACACTGGCAGGAACATTAATATTAAACTGGAGTAGCTCTAAGAAATGCCTTTCCATCTCATTCCTGGAGGAGGAGGAGGAACAAAACAAAACCAAAACCAATACAGAACAATTTTAGTCAACTGGACTATCTTCAAAAATGTCATTCTGAGCTTCTAGGATAGCTCTAAATTCTGTTTTGAAACAAATAAAGGCTACTCAGCTGGATTAATACACTAACGTTCAAACAAGGTACAGCTATTTGTAGTCCTTTCTGCATCCCAGCACTTTGAGTTTGGGCTGAGGGGAAAAGGTTACGGTCCTCTCATGCACTCGTGCTGCTGACTCGGGGGCTCATTCTTCAGAGTTCCATTAGTGCAGCTGTACGATTCATACTCCACGCTCACTCACAAGGCCCCACTATAGTGAGCAGATGAAAGGAATGATGTATGCTGTTTATTAGCTCTGAAGAACTTGCAGACATTTTCACCGAGCTGATAACAGGAAGGGGCTTATTGAAGTAGAGAAGCACCAACAAAAGAAGTGGGCACATCACCACGGCAACAAATGGATCCATCGAGAGCCACCGCTATTATCTCTGAGGGGGAAAAACTCTTGAGGCAACAAGGATTCATCTCAAATAAATAAATAAATAAGCTACATTGGATGGGAAAGGAAATCCACCCCTCCTTACCTCAGTGCATGAGGCTATGTCAAAGGGCATAATGCACATTTCTGCTCACCTTAATATTACTAAGGTGACAAACAGTCACTATGATAGTCAAGATACTCATTTTAAAACTTTGGAAGGCACGAAGATCAAAGTAGATGCCATGGGTAGACAAAACCCACTTTAGGATATGACCTCTGGCAGAACAGTGGACTTGTAAACTGTGTTTTGAGAATGAAATCCCAAGATGCTCAGCACCTGCCAGCTCTTGCCAGAATGGAATGTACACACATAAGGACAAGTGGGAAGGAGAAGGGTTGAGAGCAGTCCTCTGCTATATGACCATATAGCTGCCCCTGCTGAAGGTTTAAATCACTAAACATAAACAGAGGAAATCCTAATTCTAACAGTTTTAATTGTATAAAATAATAAATACTTGAACAGACATGAGAGGTTCAATTTATACAATTGAGTTTCCTGGTTTTAAATTTTTAATATTTTATCCACTGGCCACATTAGAAAATGTGTGATGTTCTCCTGTGTGGAGAGCAGGTAGACTATGAACAGAGACATGATTTTCTCAATTGTTGAAATTAAAACCAAACTGAACCAACTTCCAAAATTAATTTCCTGTTCGTATGGCAATAAGTCCATAGAAATGTAAATCAGATAATGTTTTGATAATCAGCTAATCAGGACTTAATTTACTACAGGAATAAATGCACTTCACTATCCCTTTTATATTTTCTCCACTAATACATTTTAACTGTGCAGAAATACAGTACTTCATGGGATTAACATGTCTATTAATAGAGGTTTTAATCACTGAAGAAAAGCATTATGCATCTTTCTAGGTTTTTTGTTTTTTAAATGCCTGAATAGCATACCATTTACAGGCATAGCAAATTTTCTGAATAGCAGCTGGTCAATTTAACTTATTCTTTTGTATATTTTAACAAAACACATAGATGGTAGAAAGTTTTAAAAATTTGAGACACTGATTTTTAACTTTCTCATCGGAGACTTAAAAATAAGACCATTAGAAACAGTCAACAGCAGGGGGATGAGACAAATGTATATTAAATACTTTGTTGTAATGCCTTCTAGTTTCCAAAGATCATAAACAAAAACAGCCTGGCAGGAACATGGCTCCTGGTGTTTCTCTGTTCACACAGAAAGGCCTTGGAAGAACTGATGTCGCAGCTAGCCCCTGCTGCCATCACTGCTCCTGGTGCTCCCCATCTGTGGAAACTGACACATTTCCCTGCATCTTCTCTGATCTTATCACTAGATCCAGAGCCTCAGCCAGTTTAGTTACAAGTTTTGAGTGTATTTCAGCTGCAATTCAAGCAGGATTGTTGTTCATGATTACAAATTTTGCTTCCTTCAAGGAATCAGTCTGAAAACTGATGACAATATAGTGATCAAAGGCACTTTAGCTTCTTCAACTTCCAAAAATACTTCCCTTTGTTTCAGGTTCTTTTATTGTCATATCCTCTGCTAAGATAGTACCAGCAATATCACCAGGACTACTCAGCTTGCACTATTATCAAAGTAGTATTTTCACCAACAGCCACTTCAACCACTCCTAAAAACCACTGGTCCCTTCTCAGTCACAAGTGTCATCACTCAGCAGTATATATAGTTTAGTAATTTTGAGGGAGTCTAGGTAGGGCAAAGGTAACAAATATGAACTCCTGCCATAATCTTGATCTTCCTATAATGCTCAATATAACCAGTGATGCTGCTTTCCATTTTCCTAAATGCCACCCACAAAGACATTTTTCCTTTGAGAGTCTGCTGGAAATCTCTCTATTGTTCATCCTGCCTACCACCTACAGGGCCCTAACCTTCAGTCAGCTTGGCCAGATTAGAAGCCCTTGTTTCACTGGTGTTTCTGTGCCATGCGTGAGGAGCCCCATGACTCAGCAACACTCCTTGCACTTACTTCATTCTCACAAACTGCTACTGTGGCTCTGACTGGCTGTCAGTGTGATAAGCACTGAATGATGCCCTAGTAATGCTTTTTGGGATTGCCTGATGGGAATCCTAGAGCTTCCTAGCCCATGAGAACAATTTCATTCTTCTTTTTTTTGGTACTAGGGATTGAACTCAGGGGCACTCAACCACTGAGCCACATCCCCAGCCTATTTTGTATTTTATTTAGTAACAGGGTCACACTGAGTTGCTTAGCGCCTTATTTTTGCAGAGGCTGGCTTTGAACTCGCGATCCTCTTGTCTCAGCCTCCAGAGCCACAGGAATTACAGGCATGCACCACCAAGTTTGGTTCATGAGACCAATATCTAAACATATGCAACACTCCTAATGAGGAGGAAGCAAGAGCACAAGGATCTAAAATCTTTATTTTTGTATCTCATTGTTTCTGTAACAGATTTTCAGATAAAGGGGGGGGGGCACAAAAGCAAATATATAATGTGTGACTCAGGTTGAAGATATAACCTGTCAACAGTCCAGAGGCTACTTATTTCAAAACTCAAGACTTGCACCCCTTTAAAAAGCACTTGAGGCTGGGGATGTGGCTCAAGCGGTAGCGTGCTTGCCTGGCATTCGTGCAGCCTGGGTTCGATCCTCAGCACCACATACAAAGATGTTGTGTCCGCCGAAAACTAAAAAAAATATATATTAAAATTCTCTCTCTCTCTCTCTCTTTAAAAAAAAAAAAAAAAAAAAAAAAGCACTTGAAAGACAGTTTTTAAAAAGCCATGTAAGCATGGCACTATGGCGCATGCCTGTAATCCCAATAGCTTGGTGGTGGCAGAGGCACGAGGATCACGAGTTCAAAGCCAGCCTCAGCAAAAACAAGGCACTAAGCAACTCAATGAGACCCTGTCTCTAAATACAAAATAGGGCTGGAGATATGGCTCACTGGTTGAGTGCCTCTAAGTTCAATCACCAGTACCGTACCCTATGCCACCCCCCAAAAAAGCCATCTAATTTTATAATGTTCCATGTTGTTCTGGGAGTAAACTTATAACATGTTTGCCAAAAACCACTAGAAAAATACTTTTCAACATCAATACAATAACACATAAGGTCCTACCAATTAATGATAGAAACTTATGTATTTTTATGCCTACTTCCAGTATTTTCAAAAGGTAACGTCTACAAATATTTCTTAAAATGTAAACTTCATGGGAGCAAATGAGATACTAGAAACTGAGTAAGATTCACCAAAACCTTACAAACTCACATGTCCTCAACTGTAATGTCCTTGAGGATTTGGCAGTAGTCCACATTCCATACAGCCTGATCGTCCCAAACCTTGGAGGCAAGAAGAATGGCTCCCAAAACGATTCTTTTCCAGTTGGTGGGACAAATGTCGATCTCAGCATAAGTTAAAAGCCTTTCTAAGTAGACCTGCAAAAGTAGAGCACTAGTCTTTGATTTTAGTTCAGTTTAAGTGTTCTGTTAAGAAGTTGTGAATGACAAATCTCCTCTGTGTTTGACAAGTACTTTTTTTTTTTTTTTTTAGTTTTTCGGCAGAACAACATCTTTGTTTATATGTGGTGCTGAGGCTCGAACCCAGGCTGCACACATGTCAGGCGAGCACGCTACCGCTTGAGCCACATCCCCAGCCCAGTACCTTTTCTTTTTGAGTTCTACAGAGACTTTCGCTTAGGTAAAGCAAGAGACCCAAGCATAGCTATAAGTTAGATACCTCTGCTGTTTACTCTGCCCATGCAAATTTCCATTCCAATTCTGGTCATAGGAATGACTGGCAAAGGACATCCTGAAAAGCAGCACTGTTATAACCTTCACATGCATAAAGGGCACCCACCGCACACAGGCCCAGATTCAAGTTGTTCAGTAAAGACCTAGTGACCCCCACGTACAATTACAATACCTAGCTGATAGTTTTATAATGGTTTTACAGGCAGATCATGTTTTAATATGGAAGTACCCAAGATGTATAAGAGCACATTTTAATCTTTTTTTCCCCCAACAATAACTAGCCCTTTTATGGAGCTAGTTGAAAATAAGAACTGGGGGGCTGGGGATGTGGCTCAAGCGGTAGCGCGCTCGAGGCCTGGTGTGCGTGCGGCCTGGGTTCAATCCTCAGCACCACATACAAAACAAAGGTGTTGTGTCTGCCGAAAGCTGGAAAATAAATATTGAAAAGAAAAATTCTCTCAAAAAAAAGAAAAGAAAAACTGGTGGACAAGAGAGCCTCCCAGTGGTTGCTGAGAGAGCAGCATATTAGGTGCAGGTCTTTTTTGGCAGTTCAGTTTTCTCTGAATTCAGCCCCTTCTAAAAAGAAAACACATGTACAAAATGATGGTCATTCTCATAGTCCTTTATTTTTCATATTTCCACTATTATTTCATGAAAATTCATTTTCTCTCACATATTGTGCACCTTACTCAATTCCATTGGTTTTAAGGTGGTTCAAAGCTGCAGGTCTCTGCATCACTGGGACTCATAAACCTTCCCAGGCAGTTTGAGAGTTTCATGAGTTATTTTACACATATCAAACATCTAACCCACAAAGAACTGGATGAAGTTAACAGCTGAGTAAAGATTATCCAGGAAAGTGGTCTGTTTTCACTACAAATGGTGCTCTGCAAATATACAACTGTCCCTAGGTATTGGCTGAGGGTTGGTCCCAGGACCAAATCTAATCAGATACCACAATTTGCAGATGCTCAAGCACCTTATAAAACCTTTGCACATCCTTCCACATATTTTAAATAATCACTGGATTACTTACAATACCAAATACAATGTAAATGCTAAGTAAATAATAACTGTTATACCATCCTGTTTAAGGAATAATGACAAAAAATAAAGACAATTTTCCCCAAAATATTTCTGATTCAAAACTGACAAATCAGATGCAGTCTATATGCTATTTAAAAACAGGAAAAAAAATCCACTTTTAAGAGTATGTTTACTGTCTGAAGGTTATAAGACTGACAGTTCAGATTTGGCAATGTTCTCTAACTTGACTGTTTTAAAAAACAAATGGTTATTCAACATTAAATATTCTTAAGGAGACCTCTTCTCATTTTCCAAAACTTGGCATTCTGAAGTATCCTAAGAATGAACCTCTTCACAGGGTACAACTTTCTTATGAAATAAGTAGCAATGAGACAACACTGGCAATCTCTCAACCTTTATTGATCAGCCTGTTCTGTGCTGACACTCATTTACCCCATTAGCCCTGCTGTGTCAGTGGAAGAGAATTCTGTCTTGCCAGTGAAACCAACTCTTCTGTTAGTGCAGTTGACCCCATCCCACTTCTGTAGAACACTGTTCCCACAATTACCTTTTGAAGACTTTGTCTCTACCAGAGGTTTTCCCCCAATATAAATGTGTTTACACTGTTTCCTCTCCACTCTCCACAACACTTCCTCTCTGTTCACAGCATCATGCCCTTGCCAGATCCTCACCTCCCATTCTCTCCCACTTTCCTCTACCCACTGCTGCCATCATTCTAAGAAACTACTCTTAAGGATCAGTGCTTTCAAACTTGCAAACCAGAGCCTTTTATCCCAAACCTCAACACCCCAAGTCTTCCTAATATTGGACAAAGGCACTGTCATTTGCCTAGTATAGGGCCAAAAACCTACATTTGAGTTATCTTACTCCACTTTTAGCAACTCCTGTAGTCTCTACCTCCACTGGTGGTCTAGAAGCTTTCTATCCTGACCTCCATTTGTCATCGCTCACCTGCATGACTCTGCTGCCTTCTACCGTTCCTCTCTGACCTTCAACTACCTCTACTCTACCCAAAGCAGTCAAGAAAAGCTCTTGCATTAGGTACACTTCACTCTCCTATCACAGTCTACCAAAGTTACCCATTAGCCTGAATTTTAACTTCTTTTGGAAGCCAGCAAGCTATAAAGGCGGCCCTGGGAAACTACCAGTGTAAGTTCATCTCTCTTCTCCCTAGTTCTTCCCCTCTTTACTCACTCTCACCACCCGCTGCCCTACTATTCCTTGAGCACATAAAACATGTTACTGCCTCACAGCCTTGGCACTTGCCCTGCTGCAATCCCCGACCTTTTTGGCTTCCTTGCTTCAAGTCAGGTTGCTGATCAAATATCACCTCTCCAATGAGGCCCTTTCTAATCATTCCTGAAACGGAAACCTCTCTAATTATTCTTCTTGGCATTTGCCACTACGGGAAATATTCCTAAACCTGAAAAAATACTTGAAGTCTTCCTCAAGAGAATATAAGCTCATAAGGACAAGAACTTTGTCCAATCTGTTCCCCTTTGCCCCAGCACTAGAATAACAGTACAAAGTAGATACCAGAAAGTACATGTGTAACTTCATTTTAACCACATCCTCAACTATCTAGCTTCTTTTTGTCACTCTCCCCTGGTTTTCCTCATATTGCTATAGCCACTCTACTGGAGACTTGCGCCTTAAATATTGATGGTAGATCTGTGGGGACTTTCTGTCCACTTTTCATTGTATACATTCTCTGCATTTGAACAGCCACTTTTAATCCCTTACCTCTAATTTGGATTCATGTTCCAATCCTGGATATCCTACTAATGATTACATATTGCCACTCTGCTATCTCATAGGGACATCAAACTTATCTAAAATGAGCTACCATTCTTCAAACCTATCTCTCTCCTTCCTGCATTACCTACTTCTACATATAGAAGACACCTCTGAGCAGTTTCTATTGAAGCACACAGCAAAACCCCATCTCTCTCCTTCCTACATTATCTACTTCTACATATAGAAGAGACCTCTGAGCAATTTCTATTGAAGCACACAGCACAACCCTCTTCTCTAAATTCTAATTGGATGCTAAACGATAGAAGTGTCAGGTCACATAACTGACTTTCCACTATGCGTTTGTAGGGAGTCAACCACCTGAATAGTAGTTACTCAAACTGATGAAGTCCTACCTTTGAAATTCTATATGGATGAACAAAGGTAAGAACAAAGCTATAGCTTTGCAGGCTAACAAAGCCTAAGAACCACTGGTACTACCATTCTGGACAACTTTGTGAGCAGACACATAATTCAACAGGATGGATTAACACCCATTACCCAAGGATCAGAGAACTGAGGGCAATAATTCTCAATCATGACACACACTGGAATTGTCTGCGGAATACAGCCTAGGATATGGCTCAGACTTGCACTCAGTCTCTGTGCACCACATGGTTTTGTTATTGCTCTCCCATAGCATGCCCCGTAGGTATTGTGCATACTGCATGTGCTGTAGGCACTGAGGTGTCGAGGGGATCTCTTCTATTACCTTTAATAATAATTCTTTTGTTATAAGAAATGCATAAACCATCATGATTACTAAAGTCAACTATGTGTTATTTACCTTCCTTTGATAAGTTCCTCTTAATAAAGTTCTGATGATAAATTTCAGGGACCTACTTTTATTTGTAAAACAAGACATTACCCTATTTACAAGACCAATTTCTAAACATGCTTAATAAATAAGAAATATCTTACCAACGTTACTATTGCACATTCAGCTGTTAGCTGTGCAGCACTAAAAAGAGTACGAACAAATCTGTAAATAAATTTGTGTTCAGGGTCATGCTTAAAGTACTCCTCTGGAACCTTTTCTCGCTGAAAGAAGAAAAGATGCAATGTAAGTTATCTGCTGAAGAAAACCACTCTTGAAGAAAAATACTTTTAAGATAGCAGCCTTCACACTGTGCCAATGTGTACCTTAAATAATTTTGAGTAGCATTTCTTTTAGTCTTTTAAATATAAACAGTGGGATCTTACAGTCATACGGTGTATAACACCTTTGTCAATGACAAACTGCATATTGGGATTAACAGGTCCCATAAGGTATAACCTAGTGACACTGCAGCCAAGTTAAGTCTGTGTGAATCCATTCTGATGTTCATACAATGATGAAATTAAGCTCTCTCAGAATATATCCCATTGTTAAACAACACATGACTGGACAAATTATTCAATACCCATTACTATTTATTAAATTTTTAAAAAAGGGGGCACAAATTCAAGCTCAGAAAATTGATGTTCCTTTTTACTTTCCCTCCATAGAATTCTATCAAAATCTATTTCTAGTCTGAAAAGTTTCATTGATTATGTTATATTTCTCTGTAATAAACTTTGGAAAGACTTTAGTTTGCTGTAACCACAGGTTCCAAAGTCTCACTGTCCAAAACAATAGTCACCAGTCACAGTGACTGTTGAAGACTCAAAAGTGGCTGAGTTTTCTAATTTAAGTTTTGTGAGCAGACACAATAGTTCAACAGGATGGATTAATACCGATTGCCCAAGGAACAGAGAACTGAGGGCAATAAATTCTCAATCATGACACACACTGGAATTATTTGCGGAATACAGCCTAGGATATAGCTCAGACCTCCACTGAATCAGTCTCTGTGCACCACATGGTTTTATTATTGCTCCCCCATCAGCATGCCCTGTAGATATGAGTGCATACTGCATGTGCTATAGGCACTTAGGTGTCAAGGGGGATCTCTTCTATTACCTTTAATAATAATTCTTTTGTTAAAGAGAAATGCAGTGGCATCATTTTAAACCATCATGATTACTAAACTCAACCACTTGTTACTTTTTCTAATTTAAGTTTTCTAATTCTCTTCAGAGATTTTACACATTTGTTGGGTTTATTTACAAATATTTATATTGTTTGATGCTACTGAAAAGTATCTTTTAGCAAAGCTACATTTTCTCTTATTGGGTGGTACATTTACTCACCTTAGCTTATTAAACAAAGCTACAAGTCAGTTCTTTATTATAGACCCGACAAAACACTTTTTCTAAGATAATTAGATACAGCATGAGGTGGGAAGGAAGATGATTTTGACTTCAAGCTGAAGGGAGTGTTCTTCTTCTAGTAATTAATCTCAAAGCAAAGCAGCACAAAATAAACAACCCTTTGAGAGGAAATAGTTAAAAAAAAAAGTGATACTTACTGTGAGTGGATGTGATCTCTCATCAAATATATCCAGGGATCTATTTGCATCTCTATAAAATAAGAATGTACATTTAAAAATTTATTCAGGAATTGTTAATATCTTACTAAAATATCTGCTAAGAATAAAGAAGGGGTTGGAAGGAGCAGCTTATCCTTCAACAAAGCAAATAGTTTGACAAATTCTTTTCCTGGATTCTAGTGTTAGGACCTCTTTTTACTCAGCAAATGAAGTACTGTAAAGCCTTTTCTACAATAACCAGGTAGAGCCCATAAGCAATGATGCTCTCAAACAGGCAATGCCAATTAATCAAATATATTTTCACTTCTCTTACAAAGCAGTAGTGGTGGGAAATCAAGTCTTGAAAACTTTAATGAACATAAATGGATTCAGATTTTCTAGATTTTTTTCCTCTTTAGTTTTCTATTATATTATTACCATATATTTCTAGTTTCTTCTAGTTTGAGTTTAAAAGTTATTGGCTGTCTTTTTATTTTAAGACATCAGTCTTTTCATTTTAAAACTAAACAATACACTGCTCAAACTAGTGGTTCTCTGTGGTCTGTGAAACTCTGGAGATTCCCTTGGTACTTTCAGGAGGCCCATGAGGTCAAAACTGTTCTTATAAGAACATTAAGACATTACTTGCATTTTCACTGCTGAACACTTGCAATGATTATAAAAACAAAAGTGAGTAAAACTACTGATTTCTCAGTATGAATGATACTAAGAGTCATTCTATTCTCCACTGCCACTTGCAGTTAAAAAATAATAATCCTGCTTTACAAAGCATGTTCTAGATGAAACAATAAAAAATAATGTCACTAAATCTTGACCTTCTTTTTAATATTCTGAATAAGTTGAAAGTTCACCTAAAGCTTCTGCACACTGAAGTAATAATTGTGTTAAGAAAAAGCACTTGTGATTTAGCTGTGAGCTGAACAAACTGCTTATCATAGAATACTTCTTTTATTTAAAAAGATAAAATATTCTCAAAAATGAAGAGTGAGACAGGCATGGTGGCGCACACCTGTAAACCCAGCAGCTCAGGAGGCTGAGGCAGGAGGATTGCAAGTGCAAAGCCAGCTTCAGCAAAAGTAGGGTACTAAGCAACTCAGTGAGACCCTGTCTCTAAATAAAATACAAAATAGGGCTGGGGATGTGGCTCAGTGGTTGAGTGCCCCTGAGGTTCAATCACCGATTACTATCCGTCACCCCCCACCAAAAAAAAGAGAAGAGTGGGCCTGTCACTTCAAGGAAAATAACAAGTATTCATTGCAAGGATAAAATTTGGGCTGTCAAGGTGAGAACAAGATTTTTGAAAATCTGTACCTTCTGCTATAGACTTGACAGTTTCTCAATCCCTTGAGACTTTTTGATAAGATTGGAGGCAATACTAACGAAAGTGAGTTCTTCAATACTATGAAGAAATGTGAACTAACACTTTCCAAATGATCATCACGATATTATAAAATCATGCACTGGTCAAAGATTTATTCCTTCTGCAAGATACATCAATGACTACTAATATAACATGTTCATTGATACAAATCAAAATTTCACTGTAACTAATTTAAGAAACTTTTTATAATGTTTTAGTGTAATGTTAAAGGGTATCCACAATTATCTGAAAGTTTTAAAAATACAACTTTTTCCAAAATTAATATCTGCATGAGACTAAGTTATCTCATTGTTTATTCAAAACAAATTGTAAACAAAGTCAGAGAAAGGTGAGAATCTAGTTGTCTTCTATTAGGCTAAATATTAAAGAGATTTGCCAAAGTGTAAATTATATCACACTTCTCACTCAACTGAAAAAGTGAAGAAAAACTTAAAATTACAGAGATTAACTATTTTCATGATAAAAGTTAATACGGTAGTTTTTTTAATATATATATTTTATATATATATATATAGTTGCAGTTGGACACAATACCTTTATTTTTTAATTTATTTTTATGTGGTGCTGAGATCTGAACACAGCGCCTCATACATGCTAGGCAAGCTGCTCTACGGCTGAGCCCCAGCCCCAGTCCCAATAAGGTGGTTCTTAATCAGAGATGATTTTGTCCCTCAGGGACAATTTTTAGTTGTCACAATGTGTGTGGGGGATGCTACTGGTATCTAGTGGGCAGAAGACAATGATGCTGTTAAATACCCTACAATGCACAGCACAGCCTCCACAATAGGGAATTATCTAACTCAAAATATCAACAGTGTCAAGGTTAAGAAACCCTGTATTATTGTATATATAAATATATTTAATTCTCAACTTAAATTTCTAAAACAGTAAATGTCAACATAATTCACAGAAATAGATACTCTGGAATTTTAAGAGAGTTCTGAGAACAAAAAGAACAAAACTCCAAATAATACATCTCAAAATTGTAATAAAAGCACTCTACAGCTTATAATGTTTTATAGTTATGACCTATTAACTATATATCATGCAAAGTAATTAACTAGAATAATAAAACAGATTTTTAAAGAGCTCACCTGTTCTTTATGTGGTAATATATTGCTAAGGTCACACTGTAGAAGGAAAAAAAAAATATTTTAACAACTTATCTGTTATAGCTGACATTTTTTTTTTTTTAAAAAAGTATAGGGGACTTTCCAATCAGCCCTGAAATCTCCAGTTCAGAACAGTACCATTGGGCATCTTATCCTTTATTTAATTCTGTTGATTATTACATACAAAATATTAAATATCTTCCCTGTCATTTGCCCGTCTACCCACAGAACCTTTCATTCCATGCGAGTTGTATTTGTCCACACGCTTAAGTTTAAGCCATAGCTTTTTTTTCCCCCCGAAGTTAGGCCCAGCATTTCAACTGATTTAGTTACCTTATCCATCTACCCACCATTTTTTATTACCCTAAAAGTAAAAAAGTGAAAGTGCTATACACCAGATAAAATTACTTTTGCATTACTAGTAGAAAATTAGTAAGTGCCCACAAAAGATGAAAATAGGTCTAGCCCATCCTGAATAAGCAGTGCTGACAACGTAGCATAATACCAAACAGTATAATATTAATGGCAGATATTTCCAAACTGGAGTAAGTGAAATATTAATAAACAGACAACTTTTTACACATTATGTTACTGTATTCTTAAGTTATCCAAAGATTCTTTGTATTAGGGAAAAAAGGGTTCTCTTAGGTAAATTTTGATTCCATTTGCTCTGTCTAAAATGAAGCTCAAAATGAGGGAAGGCAAATCTGAATTTTAAAAGCAGGTGTATATGCTATTTTAAATTTTAAATTAAAAAAAAACAATATTACTGGCATCAAAGATGGATACTTCTATAGTGCTTCAAACAGTTTTATTTCCAAAATTGATTTTAAAATCACAGAATTTGATGTTATATGCTGAAAAAGGACCACTAAACCTTATATGGCATTTTCATCCAACACATTGTACAAATAAAGGGGATGAAGGCTTAAATATGATTTGCCCAAGGTCCCACTGAACAATCAGAAACAGTTTTCTATACTCTTTAATAAGAGTGGCTCCCAAACTTCGCTGCACATTGGAATTGCCTGAGGAGGTTTAAACAGACCTGACTTCTTGAGACATTCCAATTAATTGGGCATTAAGAATGATTTTAAAGTTCCCTAGGTAAGTGCAATGTGCAGCAAAATTTGAGATTGACATAGGGTTGAGATCAGAATCACCTGAATGTTTTGTGCACTTTATATCCACCACCAGTTTCCTCAAAGGCTTGTGAGTGTCTATGGATGAAGGGGAAAAGGAAGGTGGGAAAATTCACGTTTGTAGAAATGTATTCTGAAAAAAAGTCGCATAGGTGATTCTAAGAAGGCTTAGAATTCCCCTAAGAACATTCCCTTAAGAACAATGCACTAAATCCATGAAAAACATTTTTCAGAATTTTCCTAAAAGTCAATTTGCCCTATTAATTCTCTCAATAAATCTTTCTTTCACCAATAGTGAATGTACTGAATGATTATTTTTAGAATTTAATGAAAGAAACTAAAACTTACTGTACTTCCAAACACAAGACTTCTAAACAACAAACTCAGTTAAGAGATCAAAAAGCATGAAACCTACATATGTTAGCAAGGTTACTCTTTAAAATTATATTCTGAATTATACACTGAAATATCAGAATCTTTTGAATTCAAAAGAACCTGAGGGTTCTAGCCAAAGTAGAGTGGTTTTTTAATCATGGCTATTTAGGGCTGAAAACAAACATTCAGTGATTACTTAATAGATGCCAAATCTCAGAAAGGGCTTAGTTTTTGCTGAAACATAATTCAATCTCAACTACTGTTATATGTGTGAGAGAAAAGTTACACTACTGTAAGTGTGAACTTGCAGTTTTCAAATGAAGTAGAAGTTACTGATAATTTAATTAGCTAAGAAATTAAAAAGCTGGTATATTCGAATAAAATAAGGCTAATTAGGCTTTTTAGACTAAAAAGTAAAATTAGGGATAAGAATATTAACATTCTAAAACAGCACTTTCCAAACTATGTTCTAAAAAAATCAATGCTCACATCCCAAGAAGTCATTAATAATGTTCCCTGGACAACCCCAACATCATGGGGGAAGCTCTCTACCCGGTTTTTGTTGATGTCATTTTAATAAGTTTAAAAGGTTCATCTTGGAGTGTTTTGAAAGTGCATCTTTTATTTCAAATGCCAATATGCTTTGGTGCCAGGAGTGGACTAGGTAGTCCTTCCTCCTACAGTAGTTTCCAAAGTAGTTAACAAGTATTTTAGATATGAAACTCATAACTATTTTTTTCCAGAAACATCTGATAAAAAGCACCTCTTCTTATGTTCAATAGTGTCTTAACAACATAAATGCATCAAATAAAGAGGTACACTTTTCCTGAGATTCCTTATTTGCTAACTGGCTTTCCCTTTCACCAAAGTCTGAGATTAAAATGGAAATTGAAAACTCACATTTAGGTCCTTAAAAATCAATGTATACTTGACCCCAATTTTGTAAACTGAGCACTAAAAAGGACAGTCAATAGCTGAAATTACCAAGTATGGCTGGGATGCTTTTAGCAGAAAGGGGTCTGTCACTCAGCCCTTGGCAACCTAGTTGTACTCACCATTTTATTGTGGTTCTAAGATTAGGCTGGCTGACTGTGCTGTCATCTAGAAATATTGTTGAGCATGAGCTATACTTTTTAGTAAGCTGCCCTGGAGATACCTGAAGGGGAGGGAAATAGAAGAAAATGTCACAGTAAGTTAAATCTATAAAATGTGTTTATTTTCCTTGGTTAAAATGTCAAACGATAAAGCATTAAGATATTTCTTATACTCTGTGAACTGCCTGAGTGTGATATCATGTGTGGCTCTATAGGAAACCCATTGGAGGCTCTTAACTTCACAGATGATGTTTGAGGAATGGATTATAAAATGCTGCCCTTGGTATGGTACCTATAATCAAACCTGGCAAGCATCTATTATGAATTAATCCCCTTAATAAATACTGGAAAAAGTTTAAAATAAGATTTCAGTGTTTTCCTCTTAAGCAATAAAAAGCAGTTGAGAAGGTTCTGTTTCTACTATTCAGTAACTACAATAAAATGTAATGCCTTAAATAATACCAGCACAAAAGCATTGTGCTGCACTAAATGAAAGCCTAATACCAAATTTACTGATTTGCTAGTACTAAGTGTCTAAGTGTAATTACACAAATGTTTTGGAATCAGAGGCTATGTGCCAGGGCTATTTAATAACTAACAAGGCTTGGGACCATAGGTCTGAGTCTATTCTCATATGTAGAGGGTAAAATTATTGCCTTAAGATTGTTTCACATTCAAAATCAGATGATAAAAAACAACTTTGGGAATTTAGCTTTCACTTCACTTTTAAGTAGATTGCCATTACATTACTTATATGAAAACCGCAGCCATTCATTCAAGATTTTATTTAGTTTATTCTCTTATTTGATCCACATCACAACACCTCCCTGCCTCATTAGTGTTACTCTCGGCCCAAAGTCTTTTTCTTCCTTGCCCCAGAAGCTTGACTCCTTCTACCTTCTGGGATACCTTTGCCAACAGCCACATCACAAAATTCATCCTCCAATTCAATACTTGCAGGGAGGTTATCTCCCACATAAGAAACTAAGCTGCTCCAAAGAAAGGGGGACTCTTACTGCTCCTATCTCCAGCTGCTGAGCATAAAATTGGGGACAAGTTAGGGAGTTCAACAACTGTCTGACAAATTATTAATTAATAATCAATTACATGTTGGAAGACAAATCTTGCTACAAATACAAATTAGTGAAAATTTACCTGAAGTGATACTAAAGAGATGACAATGAACTTTTTGAGGCCTCTAAATAAACTATCATTAAAACACTTTAGAAGTATCCATTTAATTGCAAAGGGTAAAAGAGTACAAGGATATAGAGCAACAGTCAAATACTGAAACAGCCTAAACTACGTTAAAACAATTCTCATCCTTAAAAAGCCAATACCGAATCTCATCACTGAATAGTTGAAGATTAACAGCAGCATTTTTTAAAACCACAGATTATCAACAATTTTAATGTTTTTTTTTAAATTAAAAAAAAAAAGCTAATTCAGATAAGCCTTCCTTTCTCCTATCAATATAACGGTTTTCATCATGCTTTTACTTTCTCCCATCAGCAACCCCTACAAATAAATGAAAGATGGGACAGGGAGAAGACCTAGCTGAAAGTACAGAGCACTTAAAAGTCACCAGTAGTCCACAGTCAGAAATATCCATAAGGTACATAAAATTGCATTTTGCTTGTTTTAGATGTTTTTATGGCAAAGTCACTTCTTTTCCTTATTAACAAAAAGTGTCAGAAGTTATATTTTTGAAAAGTATAACTATTTTGGAGGAATAAATTCTCCTTTTAACTAAAAATGTTTAAACTATATCTAAGTTTGGATATGTTTCTTAAGCTATTCAGTTAATATGTATACTGTTGAAAAAAAATCACTATACTGGAATAAAAAGAGGGGCGAAAATCAAAATGTAGACTAGTTGGTAGAACTTCAGGTGATATTTTCTTCCATTTTCTCTATTTTCAAATTTTTTTGTATCATGAATGTATATATATTGGCTTGTCTTTGAAAACATTAATGCCAAGTCATTAAAAAATTTTTAATTAGATGTGGTCTTACAAACTATGAAAGCTCCATTAATGAATCAGCAACTTATTGGCTAGATCCAACCAAAAAACATTCATCACTTCCTTTTAGTCCAGGCTTACTCTAAACTGATAAAGACAGAGGAATCATTCATTTTGTAGGAAAAGTCATTTCTGTTACCTTCTCTCCTACTGTAATCAGGCCATTCTCAAATTTCAAGATGACTAGAAAAGCTGAGTGCAAAAACTCTCTGTTGCCAATATATAGCAAACGACATACCATCACTTCCAGCTATTCCAACATTTCAGTCTTGATGACTAGAGGGTGGCAGAACGAAGCCTCTAAGCAAAGCCTAGAATATAGCTGTCAACAAGTAACTTTCCCCTCAGCTTGCATGAAAAATTAGGACAACTTGCCCTTTATTGTTAAATCGTTACCACTGCTGGCTCACAACCACAAAAAAACTACACTGACAAACATAAGGATATAAAATACAAATACTAAAAAAAAAAAAAAAAAAAAAAAAATAGAAAACATTTCTGACAGATGGTTACTAAAAGAAACACAAACAATAGCATCTTTCTTCTTCCAATCAGCACAAATGATAAAGTACAGAATTTTGTAATTCTTACAGGAAAGAGAGTACTTAAGTAGACAAAGACTAGAAAATAATACCTACTAATCTGGTAAATCATAACCAGAACCTTACCATCAAAGGTCAAGAATTTGTTGAAATCCTGTCCCCACCCATTGACTTTTCCCATTGTGCCTATAGCCACTTATCTATTAAAAAACAAAAACGAAAGCCTGAAATCCTCCCCCCCATAATACATATTTGGGATATGTTTCTTTTTTTAATATTTATTTTTTTAGTTTTAGGTGAACACAATATCTTTATTTCATTTCTATGTGGTGCTGAGAATCGAACCCAGTGCCTCATGCATGCTAGGCGAGCGCACTACCACTTGAGCCACATCCCCAGCCCCTGGGATGTGTTTTTAAGAATCAATAACATTTAATCAACCTCAAATTTTCTAACACTATATGCATTCATGAAAACTATTCCAACTTTTGTTGCACAGTAACAAGACAATACAGCAGGATGTGTATTTGAAAGAATTCTAAAACATGGCCTTATATATGCTAATTATAGGTAAAACTGCATATTGATTTTGTGCTTGGATATATACTTTAAATACAGGTTCTAAATTCATTTATTAAACATTGAAGATTGACCACACATATATACCCCTTTCCTCCTGAAATCTCATTAAAGGTATAAAATACAGGTTTATAGCTAAGACTAGGAGTCAGGACAGAGAGATGATTTTTATTGTTTGAAATATTAAAGTAGATAAAAGAATAGTAACATGACAGAAGAGTAGAAATACAACTCTGGTGGCCATGAAGAATCAGTGGCAGGAATAAGCAAGCCAGTTTATCTTGCAGAACCCATAGAGACTCAGATTTCAGAGGCACAAAGCATCTTGGAATGAAACATAAAACGAAGATAAAGGAGGTCAATTGGAAATTTGTAGTTAGAACCCAAAGTCCATCTGTCCTCCATTTTATAGGGATCTAGATATTAATTCTCCAGATATATTAAACCTGACAGTTTCTGGGCTTAGAGTTACCATTCTCAGAGACACTGTGGGTAAAACTTGGAAAATAAGAGGAAAAAACTACATACTCCACACCTCCCTTTTCCAACTTCTGAAAAATAAGCAGCCATGCTTGTACTCCCTAGGTAGAAAAGTGGAAGATCCTTCTCTGAAGAAACTGAACTATCCAGAGACAGGGCACCCCACATAATAAAAATACTGAGGTCCCAACAAATGAAAAGCTGGGCATGGCCTCCAAATCCTTGGGAGTGAAATCCATCAGTTAACAAGTCCTTCTCATACATAGTGCTTCAAACCAGACAAAGTCAGGGTCTACCACACATTTGAGGCAAGCCTCGATCGAAGGATTAAAAAAAGGAATTCATGGGAGTACTTGAAATTTAGGAGTAAGTGAAAACTCAAGACAAAAAATTCAAGAGAAGGGCTGAAGAATCTCTAACTAGGACAAAAAGACAAACCAGAAATTGGGGAGGGAATAGAAATTGGACACTGGTGTAGAAATACTGTCAAAGAGGCCCAACATCTGAATGACAAAAATACAAGGGGGCAAAAAAAAAAAAAGAAAATATCAATGAAATTACAAGAAAATTTTCTACAAAGAGCTAATATGCAAACTAATGACCTCAATTAAAATAAAAAGGTTCCTAACAGCCAGGCATGGTGGCACAAGCCTGTAATCCCAGTGGCCCAGGAGGGTGAGGCAAGAGGATTGTGAGTTCAAAGCCAGCCTCAGCAAAAGTGACTCATTAAGCAACTTAGTGAGATCCTGTCTCTAAATAAAATGCAAAATAGGGCTGGGGATGTGGCTGAGTGGTTGAGTGCCCCTGAGTTCAATCCCTGGTACCAAAAATTAAAAAAGGTTCATTAACAAGCCATATCATGCAACTTCAGAATCCCTCAGATAGAGAAGATACTAAAGCTTTCAGAGAAGTTATAGGGGAAAATTACTAAAGTTGGTTATATATAATGTAGAATACAATGGCAAAAATTTATAAATGAGGAGACAATAAAGAAATATCAGGACTGGGGCCGTGGCTCAGAGGTAGAGAGCACTTGCCTCATACATGTGAGGCACTAGGTGCAATCCTCAGCATCACGTAAAAAAATAAATGAATAAATATATTATGTCCATGTGCAGCTAAAAAAAAATTTAAAAAAAAAAGAAGTATCTTCACCACTGGAATAATTCATTTCAACCTAGAATCCTACTTATACTTTTACCAAATAGGAGGAGCACATTTATGTGCCCTTTCCCAGGAAAATGTACAAGAGGTATAAGACGACAAAGGGAAACACAAAAATTACAGGATCCAATACAAGAGAGCAGTTATTTGAGATCCCAGATAACTTCAGAAAGATACCCCAGGAAAAATAGGCAGAGAACTGCTTAACAAAAAACCAGTCTGTTTTAGAGTAGAATGATAGAAGACTGAGAAGGGTTGCCTCCAGGAAAAAAGACTAAATAGATGCGATTTAGTAAAGGAAAATTTTTTTTATAGGCATGTGACAAATGTTAAAACATTTGGGGGGGGAACAGACAAGTGAAAATATGAAATTCCACAAAAAATTGAAGAATATGAAAGCAAAGAGGCCAGTGAGGGGGCCATTTACTACATGTGGCTGTGTGAGTTAATGTTCATTAGGAAATGGCGGATTATCACAGGAGGAATACAGAAGTGCTCAGACCTCAGAAATATCTTTTTAAGAGGAAAATTAAGGGTGAACAGGAGGTGGCACAAAGTACAATATGACAGCAGTGAAAAATATTTGCAAGTCAATGTAAATATCGATCAGTGATTTAATAATAAAATGTGATACATGTCAAGGAAATACAGCAGGGGAATAAGGTCACAGTGGAATGAGGAAGCTAAACTTTCACCTGCTATAAATTACAGGAAATCAACAGCTAATGCTAAAAACTGACTTAATAGTTTGCTACTTTAATTAAAAAAAAAAAGACCAAAAAATTAAGGCAAAATATTTCAGGCATATCTTTATATCACAACCACGTTACTGAAATTTAACTGTCAGAAACCTTTAAAAACTGACATTACTAAGTCAAAGATTTCCCTGAGTAAATTTAATACTTAAGAAATTGGAGAGATTTAGAAAATCCACAAAAAGTGGACCCTGATAACATTAATGAATCACCATTACATATATATTTTAAAAAATCACAGTAGACATACTTTTAATTCACTATAAGTTTAACTGTTTACTTACATGGTTTAAATGGTTGCTCTTCCTCTTTTCACGCACTAAGAATAAAAAAAAATTAACTGATCAATTCTGGTACAAATGTCATAGAAAAATAAAAAGTAGCTAATTATCTGATGAATTACCAATATACAAAATGACAAAGTTAATTCTTTTTTAAAATAATTTCCAACAAAATTAATAATCTGAATTTTCTGGCAAGATAAATTTCATAATAAAATCTAAAAACTTAGTTCTACTTTTTTACTAGCAGATAATTTATTACATATAAATAAGAGACTCTCCATATACAAAAGGGGCAAAACGAATTGAGCTAGGTAGGAAATATAGCTAATAAGATAGTACACATACTGCATACCTGAATAAATAGTAGTATTTTCTAGTTCTACATTTCCTTACTTTAATTACAAGGATCTAAGAGGTGATAGCTCTAGGAAACTGTTTTTGGCTAGGCAGCCATTTCTAGATGCATCTGAATCCTAGAAACATCCTGAACCACCTATTGATAATCTACCAAAATAAAAAAATTAATGGGCCTTTATACAATTGGAAAGTAGCCTATCTTAAATTTAAATTTTTAAATGAGTGTGCTAACCTAATTGAACATGATTATCTACAGCACACTGATTTCATTATGCTCTAATTAAGGCCAGAAAAGTATATGCTCCTAAGAGGGACTTGGGCCACACTTTGTTTCCCACACTGCCTCCTCCTTTAACGCTAGAAGGCACTGTAGTCACACATTCCTTCCCACTAAAAAGAGCAGCAGGGATAGTTTTTTACTTCCTCACACTCTAGAATACAGTTCTTAAAGAAACTGAGACATAGCAATGCTAATCAGAAATGGCCAGCTGAAGACAGGAAAAGTACACACATAGCAACCACTAATTTTTACTGTGCTACATTACCCCAAATGTAATACAGAACCCTCCACTTTTTATATTATTCTTGTTGTAATAAACTAAATCAGTTTTGTCTTTAAATTTTTTGCTTTTTTACTTGTACATGGACACAATGCCTTTATTTATTTTTATGTGATGCTATGATAAAACCCAGTGCCTTACACGTGCTAGGCAAGTGCTCTACCACTGAGCCACAACTCCAGCCCCTCATTTTTGCTTTTTAGCAAAAAAAGGATTTGACCAAACATTAAGAAAAACAGCACAGATGAAGAAAAATCCTACAGTTTTAATGGTTCATCCCAAAACAATCAGGACACATGAAATTTACACTAGTTTCACACACTGGCTAACCTCTTGGGAAACACCATAATTCACGTTTGTTCCAGTTTTTAATACATTAGGATGAAAAAGCTTTGAATGGCTTAAAAGTTCTGAATAGGATAAATCAAGATGTGAGACCGGCTCATTTATTTAGAGGACTGTAAAATGAGCTCAAAATCAGATTTAATCCCCATATGTAAACAACTGATTTTTTAAAATTTGTTCATATGAAAACCTAATTAAAACCTAAATCATATTATTTATCTTTAAAACATGCTCTGAGGATCAAGGGGGAAGGTTAAAAAAAATATGGAATACTAGGTATAAATCAATGACCACTTCTAAATTGTGTGGCAACTGTCTTTATTAAGAGGTAACAAAGTGTATAAACACAAAGTCTAGGGGCTGGGGATGTGGCTCAAGCGGTAGCGCGCTCGCCTGACATGCGTGCAGCCCGGGTTCGATCCTCAGCACCACATACCAACAAAGATGTTGTGTCCGCCGAGAACTAAAAACAAAAAATAAATATTAAAAATTCTCTCTCTCCTCTCTTAAAAAAAAAAAAACACAAAGTCTACCTGTATTAATTAAGGGAGAGTATATATCATCACATATTAAAAAGTCATGTAGAATATATGTAACATTTAAAATTTTAAAGCAGTGTAGGAGTTCTTCTAAATATTTTCTATGATATGCCATATAAAATAGTCCTTTCTTTGGAAGGGAAAAATATTGTCTTACCATAGGGAAAAATATTGTCTTACCATCTGTCTGAGATTTGCTCAGGAAAATTGTGCTTGCCCTTGGATGGTCAGAAGGGTTTGATTCCAAAGCTAAATCTATAGAGAAAGAGAAAAAGATGTGATAATTTAGTTCAATAAAAGAGTAGATGGTTTTTAAATAGATACCTATCAGGTTTAATCACTTTCAATAGTCTTAGAAAAAAATTTTAGTTATGAACATGTAGGAAACAAGCAACAATATAAAAACACTACAGGGTAACTGTAAAATCCTAGATTCTCTCCGCACATGTGGAGCAAAACCAGGCTAGGCTGGGTCTTAGACCTCTTTTTAAAAAAATAATTGAATGCAACTTTTAGATAAACCGTTTACAAGACCACCTCTTCTCGTCCTCCAGAAATGCAAGCACTCTTCTCTGTGCTGATATTACCAGCACATTTCAGGAACAGTCTCAACAAGTGATGCTGCCCTGGCCAATTACTGTCAAACACTGGCTCAATATATCAAATATGCCAAAACAAGATTGTTTTGACAAATGTTTTTCAGACAATCACAAGGCTAATTCTAACTTCTTTCAACAAGTAAATTAATCTAGTTAGCTTTGGCTTATTTGTGGGCTATTAATCATGGCAGATATAAGAGGACTGCATAAAAATTCAATGTCCTAACCTACAAAAACACTTCCATGAAAAAAACTAATTAAAAAACAAAAACAGAAACTTCTGTCCTTAATTTCAAAGACAACATTCTTTTCTCTTCATTCTTAATCCCTACAGTCCACACTGGGAACAAGACGTGACAATCTATTTGGTCAAGACTATAAAACAGATTCATAAATTTTGTTTATACTTTGCCATCATGGGACAGCAAAAGTTGTCAGAATGTGGGAACCTACAACACTCCTCAGCAATGTCCACTCTCAAGCCATTTAAGATGGACCAAGATCTAAACAGAGTAACAGTAAGGCAATTATTTCCCAAACCATATTTTAGTAATTGTCCTACTTTAAAAGAAAAAAAAGAAGGATTCAATGTCCAAATCACAAAACACTACCATCCAAGGCTCTTACAAAATCAAAATGTATACTGATATATTACTCAGTATATTTCACAAATTTGTCTACTTAAAATACTTTCTCCCCCTCCAAGTAATATTGTTAGAATCTTGCATGAACATAATTTGGGACTTCCTGATTTAATGGAAATCCAATTCATCCATTTTAATGGTACTGTTAGATCATCAGAAACTTACATATTTAAACCAACCACTCTGTCCTTCATGGAAATTTATTCACATAAGTTTATTAAACTGCTTTTGAAGAAAACTATTCTTATGTAAAAGACCCACAAAACAGTTTTTTTCACATGATGAAAGGATGATGAGACAATGTGAGCTATGTGGAAAAATAAAATCATGTGAGCACAGAATGACAAAAAGACTTTCATAGCTATCTCCCTAAAGCTTCTGAAGGGATTTGGGACTACTTTCTCCCCCAAATAAAGCAAATATATTACAATTTGAATTTAAAACATAATTTGCAGAATTATTAAAGTATCTTAAAAGTTTGCAGAAATAGCCATATTATATATTAACAACAATGTAATGATAAAACTTAATTCAAAATGTTCAATGGAAGTCTAGGGAAATTAAGTATCACAATTACAGAAAAGCAAGCTTAAAACACACACACACACACACACACACACACACACACACACACATAAAAATCCTAAAATCAAAATATGCTACTACGAATATTAAACAACATTCAGAGAGAGATATAAAAGAAATTACAACCCGCAAACAAAAAGCAAAATTAGCCCAAGTGACAAGCTGACAACTCTCTACCTCCCACCCTAGGTTTTAAGGTGGGTGCAAGACCCTCGGCTAGACAATTAATTAGAGCTCACTTGAGACTTACCAAGTACTAGAGGAAAACAGCAAAGCTGTTCTCTAGGACCATTAACTAGCCTAGTCAGCAGCTGTGGCTGGCTAACTTTGCAATCGTGAGAAATAAAGCCTTTTCAGGCGAGATGAATAGCGGGGGAAGAACTGAGATAGGTTCTGAGATCATGTAATTCCCGAGTCAGGTTGTACCTAATCTCTGAAATCCTTGTTATACAAGTCTATTTAGATATAGGTTTTAACTTGCAAATGTAAAAGACCTGCTTAATCATAGGTACTAATGAAGATACCAAAGGTAGCGATGGATTAAATTATCACTTGCTCATTCAATGAATCTTATTAAACAGAAATTTGCAAAAGCCAAATTTAAAAATTATTGATACTCTTATAACCATTACTTTTAGTTGCTTTTCTTATTATTTTTTAAAAAAATAATTATTATTATTTTCTTATTATGTTTAAAAAACTGCTCTTGGGGTTGTGGCTCAGTGATAGAGGACCTTGGGGTTCAATCCCCAGAATGGTAGGAACAGCTCCCGGGCTGGGATATAGCTCAGTGGTAAAGTATTTGTCTAGCATGTCTGAGGCCCTGGGCACTAAAAACAAATGAAAACAAAAAGACAGAAAATCCTCTTATCAGTATACCATTTATGTCTTATTACATGAAAATGACTTCTACCCCCCTTACAGTATATTTACTATTTAATGCATACATACATAATGATGCAGCCAAATGTCACTCCTATACTTAATCTATTCTGGGGGAATTTAGGCACTTACAACATTCTATTCTAATATTATGAAGAAAACCTTCAAGAGCATAGTTTTTAAATTATTCTTTTTATTTCCTTGGAAAGACTTATAAAAGTGGGATGACTAGAAAAGCTTGGATCATTTTCATGGTTCAATATGTACAGTGCTAAAACTGCTTTCTAAAAGAAGAGCACAAGCTAACAATTATAACAATAAACAATTTTAATTTCTACCCCAGTTTTGGATACCTAAAAAAGAAAAAAGTCCTGTTATGTTAATGAGGTACATTACCGCAACTCTAATTGACTATTCTCCAGTGGTTAACAGTGGTATTTCCATTTTGGTGAGTTTCATATATTTATATATACTGTAGGCATTGTATCCACTAGGGCCTTAGGGTTGTCAATTTACACAAGATTTTCAGAAAATACTGATTTTTGTCTTTAGCCCATCATAGTTTTCTATATAACTTGCATTTCTGATGATGCTAAGTACCAGATGTTGGTATTACATGTATAGAATGGAAATTTAAGCCATTACATAGTAAACTCATATACATACTATTATTTCTGCAATCTCCATTAAATCTACTGCCAAGAGCCTAAGGAGACTCTGATAAATCACACTACACTATTTTCCACTATCACAAAGGTAAAACTTTCCACTATAAAGCAAGGCATCAGGTCCCACAAATATGCACACAGCATACATAGAGATGTCAGGAAGTAAAAATACATTAATTACCATGCATCTTATGATGTGAATCCCTTTAAAATCATTTAAGAAACCAGTAAAAATGTTTTAAATTAAGAAAAATATTCTTTTATCTCAATGATTAGGGGTGCTGTGATTAAAATTGTAAGACAGACTTTCTGTTATCAATTTAAATTGTAATTTAATTGGACAGTATGATAGACTGACATTGGAAAAGCACAATTTAAAAAAATTAAACTCCAGTCTTAAGGTAAACATCTTTGATATCAAAAACTGCTTTTTCGGACTGGGGATGTGGCTCAAGTGGTGGCACACTCACCTGGCATGCACAGGGCGCTGGACTCGATCCTCAGCACCACATAAAAATAAAAATAAAGATGTTGTGTCCACCGAAAACTAATAAATATTTTTAAAAAACTGCTTTTCTCTAGTCTATCAGTTGTTATGACCCACTCTGACTGCACAGATATTTAAAAATGTGAAAGCATATGCGACTAACTGAAATACATTACTAAAGGCTGAAAAGTTGAAGTAACCATAAACTGTCATGAAATTATTTCTTAGCCAGGTGTGGTGGCACATGCCTGTAATCCCAGTGGCTTGGGAGGCTGAAACAGGAGAATAGCAAGGTTCAAAGCCAGCCTCAGTTAACTGTGAGGCACTAAGCAACTCAGTTGAGACCCTGTCTCTGATAAACCACAAAAATAGGGCTTGGGATGTGGCTTAGTGGTCAAGTGCCCCTGAGTTCAATCCTCAGTATCAAAAAAACAAAACAAAATTATTTCCTTGTCAAAATATTCAAGGGAGAGGGTAGTGACCAAGAAACTATTGGACCTTGCTGCATCACAGTATATTTCAGAAATATACTGATTTTAACATTGATTTCAATATATCCTAATTAAACAGATGTCAGCAGTTTCGGGGCCAACTTCTGGGCAACTATTTATTGAAAGGCTCAATCCATTTACTGATCTGTTCGATTTTCCCTTACTGTACATTATAAGAATACACAAATATTTCAAGTGCCACAATCACCATGCAAACAATGATTTTATCTCTGAGTCCACATTTTCTACCATCATAATTCTTCACCTGGCAGCCTTGAGCTGGCCTGCTTCAGCAGAGGGCAACAGCAGAGCTCCTGCATGCTGTTAGTGCTGGCTCCTATCTGGTTTCTCTTTTCTAGCCTCTGATGGTACTAATTCTGGCTTCCAATTCATTTCTGGACCTGCATATCCGTCAGTTCTCAGTCTTGCCCTGTTTTAATTTTCCATCTATGTTTTAGTGAAAATGAAATGTGACATTTCAGACACAGTAATATACCTTTCCTCCATTATTTTTTTCTTAAGAGCACTTTACTCAGTTTCTTAGAGTTCTAAGAACATTCCTAGGTTACGAGATACTACCTTCCATTTCATTGTATATTATCCAATGCTACTGTTTAAACAGCAAGACTTAATTATTTTAATATTCTGGGGGCAGGGAAGGTAGCATCCAAAGAAGCCTATGAGTCAGTCTATAAATTATTTTCCTATATGCCACATATCTGGAATTTACATTCTTGAACTACCAAGTTTTATTTTTCAAAATCTTGGAGAATGTAATTTATACTTTTCAGAGGCCATCTTCTCATATGTAAAACAGTTTTAATTGCTATATTGTCTAACCTAAAACACTGAGAATCAAATGAAATGCAAGATGAGTCTTTATAGTGTATATTACAATCACAAAACAAAGCTTTCACAAACTCAAAAATAAACAAATAAACATTTAGCATTTCACTGGAAAACTCATACCAAAAATAACATCCCAAAATAATACATTGAGCAAACACACTTTTGCTACCCACTAAGGAAAAGGTACACACAAGATCATCAAGAATTCCTCCCAGTGTTGTTAGAGTTTTAAATATGCAAATGCATATTGTTTTCCTTGCTTTAATGTAGATTACTGTACTTTTTAAAAATGTATACTTTGGAGATCATTCCATAAGCATTCTTTTTTACAGCTCTAAAGAGGTTACATAGTATTTACATTCACTATATGGATGTCCCAGTTTCTTTTACCAGTCCCTTACAAGACATTTGAATTATTGTCAACATTTTGCTATTGAAAATGATACAATAAACTTTGTACATATGTTGTTCCATATTTGTGGTGATGTACCTTTAGAAAAAATTCCTTTAAGCAGGACTTCTGGATTAAATGTATCTGCAGTGCTGTGAGATTATACCAAATGTTTATTGATGGAGTCAAAATATTTTGTATTTCCATAAGCAATACATGAATTTAACCACCTTCATGGCCTCACCCCCAAGATTGTATTGTCAAGTTTTAGGATTTTTCCCCTCAAAGAGAAATTGCCACAGTTTTCATGTGCATTTTTCTTATGTGTGAAGGTATGTTTAAGGATCACTTGAATTCCTTTTTCTGTGACTTGTCTATTCATCTTTGTTAACATTTAGATTCACTCAATTTCTTTCTTTTTTTTTTTGTACCAGGGTACCAATTCAGGGGTACTCAACCACTGAGCCACATCTCCAGCCCCATTTTACATTTTATTTAGAGACAGGGTCTGTCTTACTGAGTTGCTTAGCACCTTGCCTTTGCTAAGGCTGGCTCTGAACTCACAATCCTCCTGCCTTAACCTCCAGAGATGCTGGGATTATAGACATGCGCCACCATGCTGACCTCAATTTCTTTAAATTAGCCATTTTAGGCCCTTATTAATATTGCTTTTTTGTCCAGATCACTATTGGCTCTCCCCTGAACTACGGGCACCTGCAGGTAGGTCTCCCTGCTTCCACCCTTGCTGCATCACAATGCATTCTCACAGAACAGCTAATCTATTTGTTTTTTTGTGTGTGTTTTTAAAATATTCCCTTATCTCTAATCCTCCAATGGTTTCCCAATACTACTGAAGTCCAGGTTCTTTGTCAAGATCTGCTGGGCATACAAAGCCTTACTTAGAACATCATGTTCCTCCTGGCATCCCTTTCACTCTGCTACACTCAGCCTTGTGTACTGTCCTTTCCCACCAGAAGAAATCCAAAAGGAGTTATCCCTCTGCAAGGAAGGTTCCTCCCACCACACACAGTTCCCTCTCATTTTTAGGACAGCTTACACATCACTAAAGGAGAACAGACATCTTTCACCACCCCACATAAAGGCATGTAAAACTGCTCTCCTACCCAATCATTAGCCGGTTGCTTTCTTCTCATCACCTCACTACCTGATATTTTTTATTTTTTATGTGCTTCCTACCATCTCCATTCTAGCATGTAAGGATCAGGGTTAGGAAGAGCGCTCTTATATACCACTGTTGGCCCTAGATCTGGAAAATTGCCTGATCATTCAAAGGTACTCAATAAATGTTAGTGTACTCAAAATCAGTTAAGTTGCTCCTGTTTGCCCATTATCATCTAAGATTTCTTTTAATGCTGTTTCTTATTTGACACCTAAAATCAGCATTATTTGCAGATCTCTTAGAGTGGTAGCTATTCAGAATTAAAAACATGAAATAAACTACCAAGTACCAAGAAACAGAGTTCTAATGTCCAGCAAAACATCAATTATAACTAATTTCGCATAAGAACATTTAATACTAAAAATACCTTACCTGCAAAATGACTCATCCTAAGGACTTAAATTGTGTCACAAGGGAAAATATGCCATCTGAATTCTATAGTAGAAAGGTCATCAAAATGTGTTTTTACCTGTGTCCCCAGAATCAAACATTTAATGGTCCTGTTTGATTTTACTATAAAAGATGCCCAATGATAAAGGTTAGGGAAATAAATGATGCTCTAACTACTCAACAATACACTAGCAGTTATTAAAAAAAAAAAAAAAAAGCAGTAAGCACTGGCATGGAAAGACATCCTGGAGCACTCTGCATATATCAAGCACCGTCCCAGGGACTTTGTGTCTTATTTCATTGTTTTAAAAAAGTTAAAATGCAGCACATAGAGTGATTTCATTTTTATAAAATAAACAGAATGTTATAATTATATGCATATAAAAGGGTCAGAATAATCAACACCAAAGTAAGCCTTGGTGTGAATGAAAGATTTTTATGTTTTTACTGAATCTTTTACATCAAATACACTTGATAATGTAATTAAAATGGGGAACTGGGGTTGTGGCTCAGTAGTAAAGTGTTTGCTTCACATGCATGGGGCAATGGGCTTGATCCTCAGCATCACATAAATAAAATAAAGGTATTGTGTCCATCTACAATTTTTTATTTTTTAAATATGGCGGTGGGGAAAGGGTAGTAAATCATCTACTAGAAAGAAGATAGATCTGTTGCCCAGGGTTGCTGTTGTTTGTTTTGGGTACTGGGGATTGAACCCAGGGACACCAAGTCACATCCCCAACCCTTTTTGTATTTTATTTAGAGACAGGGTCTTGCTGAGTTGCTCAGAGCCTTGCTAAATTATTCACTGGGATTATAGTCCGTGCCACCACACCTGGCTGCCCAGGACTTTTTTCACATCATATTGCCATTTTATTCCCTATCCTACCCCCTTCAAAGGGGTCACCTGAAAGAGCACTCTTAGCCAGCAAATTAGCAAAGCTCCTAAAATTGGAGCATAAAAGGCTATATGAAAAGTTGAGTAAGAAAATTGGATAAGATCTTACTACTTCATTTTGTGATACTGATATTACCATCAGTTATATTAGATACACTGTCAAATAAAGACCAACTACTTTAGTCTATTTGAAATCCATATTAGGTTCTTAAGAAAAGCTCTGAAATAATCTTAATACTGTTCTGAAATGTTTTGAAGAGTAAAAAGTACATCATCATACTGTACGGTTTAATCTAAAAAAAAAAATCAAAACAATTCTTCATTGTAGAAGAGGTAAAATGTTTTATATCTAAGGTATTTCTTAGTTTCCAGGGAAACCAATGTAAAATTGTCTGAAATAAAGATATTAAAAGCAAACTTTCAATGTACTTATACTTTATAGTTGGTGCTCTAACTTGTTTCTAAGGAAACTTAAGAATAATAGCCAAATGTTGAAACTGGGTTCAATCCTTAACACCACATTGCATACATACATACATAAATGTATTGTTTATACAACTAAAAATATTTTTAAAAGATGGGAGTAAATTGTAAGAGACGGGTCTACTTTATAAATGCATTTTTGAAAAGTTTTTTCTTAGGAGCTGAATTTGGCATATCTGCTACCTCTAATTAGACATAGCCAGTTCCTATCTTCCTTTCTTCATCATAAATGCAGGTATAATACACATATGCTTCCTTTGTATTTGGAAGGGTCAAATGAGACCACACATGAAAATGTTGTGAATACTAAAGATTTAAATAAAGGTTTTACTTGAAATCTATCCAAACTACCCCAATCTACTAATTGGTTTGTAAAATCAAACTTACCTTTCACCACCCAAGCAGAACAGCTTTCACATGTATTTACATGCTTTATTTTTAAAGGTACAATTAATGCATATTTTTTCACAATTTTTGAATATTCTGAAAAGTTACAAAGGCATGTCCATCATGAGCCTTAATTATTCTAAAAAAAGGAAAATAACTGCCAGGCTGGGGAGGTAAGCTCAGTGATGGTCTTTGCCTAACATGCCTGAACCCCTTAGTTCAAACCCCAGCACTGTGAAAACAGGGGAAGAAGAGACACAAACAAGCAAAAGAAACCAAGAGTCCAACTAAAATTTACATAGAACTATAAGACATCTGCTCTATAGTAATGAAATAATCTCTGCCATTTAAATGAAACAAATGGGTCAGCAGGGCAAACATCTGTAGAATACAACGTTTTCCATTTCAAAAGATTTAAGTCTTCATTCAAGAACCATCTAGTTACTCAGAATTATATTTACCTAGATGTGTCCATTTCCAAAATTCTATGGTAAAAATCAAAGGTTCCTTTCTCTTCTCTCACCTCCCATCCCTCACGGTTTAGATCATGAAAAGCTTTCCTTTCACTTAAACATTCTAAGTGCTGAACAGGATTCTAGTGATGGGAGGGGGGGGAGGGAAGGAGGGGAAGCCATGGAAACAAACTAGCGCCGGCAGGGTCTGGCATTTTAATTTCCAAAACCATTACATTACTAATTAAAGCCTAAATTTGTTTTGACTACTTTGAAACGTTTGACCAGCAATCTCATGGACCACCTCACCTCTCCTCCCCTCTCCTCCAGAGATAAATGAAGTCCGCTAAGTGACTGAGTAGGGCTTCAGACACATTTGTCAAAGTAGGAATTAAAGTAATCGGAACTCCGTGGG